AGATGATATGCCTTGGAGGATCTATGCCAACTCTCGATGAGGTTATTAGTGTCCATACGTTGGTAACTCCATATCGGCTTATAGAAATAGATGTGTTAGAGACTTGTGAACTGATATCTCCTCAGAAGGACAGCGTTCATGGATTCTTCTCGCCTCTCTCTGGTAAACTGCCCAGCGCGCATCTTTCTTCAGCTACTTTTCCTATGTAATTCATGGAGGCTTTAGTTTTAGAGGGTTTGAAAATGAATCCCTCCCATGACCCATCCCAAATTCTCCTTGGATCCGCCTTTCGTACCTTCTTAAGGTAAGTGCTGCATTAAGTAGCCATTTTTATATAGGTTTACTAGAGTCAGTTATTTCTATACTATACTCAACGAACACTCATGGATAATAACAAAAGATGTCTTCTTTTGTCCTGTTGCTTATTATGGTTCTATGCATATTCCAGTGGGGTATCGTGTCATCAATTTTTGGCCAGTGTCTGTAAATAAAAGCTATTAACATCCGTGTGTGAGAGAAAGCCTGATATGTTGAAAAATTCCCGCTTTGGGCAGTCCTTTGAAGCGTTTCTCTCAAAGTTGGACGATATGACAATAGCAATGATAGATTGATAGATCGAAACATGTGGGAATACTGTCTTTATCGTCTCAGACTTCGTCAAAGCGCAGTCAACCGTGAACTTTTCTAACCGAAGCCCATGGGCCTTTAATCAGGATGGCTACCGGATTATCGTCTATTTGAGGTAGGGAGCATGCTTTAATGTCAGACTATCCCTTCAACCATTAATTTGGAGGTGAGGACCCAACATTAATGTCCTCCCGCTGTTACAGGAAGACTAATTAGCTATAATGGATACAAAAAATTTAGGACCAAGGCCATTAGAATGTTATTGATAACTACGGACTTTCTTTTCTACATGGGTTAGTAGTCCCAAATAATTTGGCTTTTGCCGAACAAATCTTACGGTTCGAGAGATATCTCATACAAATCATAAAGAGATCAATGTCGCCATCCATTACAAGGGCTTTGTCTTCAATTTAGCTAGGTCTCTATTCATGCCATACTTACTATCACGGCTACTGATATTATCAGGGGGTTTCTACCGTCATCACTGCTTTTCAATGCATCGACCTGTCTCAATGCTTTGGCTAGCATCGAGCCCATGGAAGCGATTGCTCCAAGAAGAGAAATGATCTAATAATACAGAGTGGTGCGCATGTGTAGCAAGTATATATATATACATGTGTGTGTTAATCAAATGAAAGATGCGAGTGGAAAGAGACAAAAGGAGAACCATAATCTTATTGTCACAACCTTATTTTCAGCAGAGTCCGTGGTCTCTGACTCTGAAAAAGAAACGGATGGAGCAAGTCTTGCCTTTGCATTGACTCAATGGTCATACAATAAGTACCTTATCTTTATAGCATAGGTCAATGATCACCCATATTCCTTGTAAGAAAAATGTTCGTCAGCAACTATCAACAAATTTGCATGAGAACCGTCGAAGACTCCGTTTGGTTATTGGCTATTGTGACACAAAAAATTATCGATTTCGCTTCTGATTGGACAATATTTTTGTGACAGCACTTTTGTATGTACTGAAAAGCACTTCAGGCACTGAGATTTGATATTGCCCCATTTTTCTTCTTTCTCCACTTTCACTTAAACATTGGACATCCTCCCTTTTCTTGTTGATATCCAAAACTAATTTAATATATATACCAGCCATGAATATCTATAAATCTTCTATTCCAGACCGGATTATCCCTCAGACCAATGCTTATTCCTTGGTTGTCTCGAATCCAAACAGCGTGAAGGACTCATATCCAATCTTTACAGATGCTCTGACAAAGAGAGTCATCACTTTCGGCGAGTGGAAGCGTGATACCCGCCGTTGGGCCACTGGTCTCCAGTCTCTTGGCTTCAAGCGTGGCGATGTCGTGGCACTCTTTTCATTCAACCAAGTCGACTACTCCATCACTATGTTTGGCCCAATCCTTCTTGGAGGTATCGCCACCACTGTCAATTCAGCCTACACTGCAGATGAGCTGGCTTTCCAGCTCAAGGACTCAGATGCGTCGGTCATTGTCACACACCCTGAACTACTTCCTGTGGCTATTGAGGGAGCCAAGAAGGTTGGCCTTCCCCTCAGTAAGGTCTTTTTGTACGGCAACAAAGAAGTCGATGGCTTCAAACCTTATAGTGCTACCTTCCCTCCAGAAAACATAGCTGAGGACCTGTTGGCCCCTGTGGAGGATCTGAACGGCCAGGCTGCTATTGAAACCACCGCACTGATTTGTTACTCTAGTGGCACTACTGGCAAGAGCAAGGGCGTGGAATTGACGCACTATAATTTGATTTCAAATGTCATGCAAATCACAGCAATGGACAGTAACAACATGCACGAAAACGTCGCATTAGCGGTGTTGCCAATGTACCACGTGTAAGTGAATCGCGTATTAGCTTTGAAAAAAAAAAAAAAAAAAAAAAAAAGAGAGAGAGAGAAATAGTCATTGGCGTTGTTACTGTTTACAACATATTACTGATAAAATTTGTTATATCAGTTACGGTAACCAACTTCATCTCATATATGGCGTCTATAATGTAAGTATAGCAGTATAGTCAATTATGTACATGATGGTGAGGCCAAAATGATATCGGATCGATCAACTTAATAAGTAGAGAACATATGGATTCAGCCCACATTATTCATGCTTTTCTCCTGCGTCTACATCATATCTTTGTCGGTATTCCTCTTCAAAACAGGGTATCAAGACCGTTGTCCTTCAAAAGTTTAATCCAGTTGACTTTCTGAAAGTCATTCAAGAGTACAAAAGTAGGTTTTTCTTCTTTTTTCTCAATTTGTTTTGATGACTGGCTTTGATATTTTACAAACCTATTAAATTTGATATTTCAGTCGTGTCTCTCAGCTTGGTGCCACCTCAGATTCTTATGCTGGTGAAAGCACCTATTGTCGATCAGTATGATCTCTCAAGCCTCCGTTTTATCACGTCTGGTGCTGCTCCTTGCTCGCGTGAATTGAGCATGGCTCTCTTAAAGAAGTTCCCCAAAATCCAGTTTCGCCAAGGGTATGGAATGTCGGAGTTATCCCCCGTCTCGCATATAGGATTTTATCACAAGATAGTCCATGGTTCCATTGGGCGCATATTACCTAATCAAGAGATTCGGTTGGTAGATCCTGAGACGGGAAAAGATGTCGGGGTAGGAGAGCGCGGAGAAATTTGGGTACGTGGACCAAACGTCATGAAGGGCTATCGCAACAATATCAAAGCGACCAAGGACACAATCGACTCTGAGGGATGGCTACACACTGGAGATATTGCTACTGTGGATATGGATGGGAACTTTTTCATTGTAGACCGTCTGAAGGAGCTTATCAAGTATAAAGGGTTCCAGGTGGCGCCTGCAGAGCTGGAAGCTTTATTGTTGGATCATCCGCTGATTATAGATGCAGCAGTTGTTGGTATCGAGAACAAGGAGCAAGCAACAGAAGTGCCTCTTGCATTTGTAGTGAAAGCACCTGGTGAAGGCCAAGCCTTAACAGAAAAGGATATCCAAGACTATGTGGCCTCGAACGTCGCAGCACATAAGAAGCTGCGTGGCGGTGTCCGCTTTATTGAGGTAATCCCCAAGTCTGCAGCAGGCAAGATCCTCCGGAGGGAACTTCGGGTGCTTTTGCAGGAGCCTATCATGGCTAAGCTTTGAATGAAATGGAGAAAGGAATGATGGAGTTGTAAATTTTTTTTTTTTTATTTTTTTTTTTATAAGAACCCTAAAAAATAAAGACCGCTGTATTTGAATGAAACGATTTCGAATGCTGGAAATTCGTCACAATAAATCATAATGTCTAGTGTGTGAATTGTCTGACTGAATAAAAGAGACATCATTCATGGGAGCCACTGCTATGAGGTAAGGAAGAAATTATCGCTCGAAACGTTGAAATGTGAAAGGAAGAAGCAAAGGAGATGTTGCCCTTTTTAGACACTCCAAAATAACAAAAGGTCAGTTAAAAATAAAGTGATAGGTCCATTAATTATAAGAGTTATAAGCTTTATTCCATGTATTGGTACAATTTACTTTGACGACACCATTGACGTTCTTCTTGCTTATCTCCTAAACGAGCTGCTCAGGAGCGTGAAGACGTCAAACACCCTTGATAATAACGAAAGAATCCTGCAGCCACGACTTCCTTCGCCCCCTAGACCTACATGAGAATAGCATTTTCCTTACGTCTTAGAGAAGATGAGCCTAATTATAGGCTAAAGAATGCACCAAGGCTTCTGCATAATCTCAACTGCCACCATCATAACAATCACGAAAAGAGTCAGATGAGTGCGGTCACTATGACCATGTTTCTGTAGATATGGTGTTATGGTGTGCCACTTCCGTCATCAAAACCGATTACGGTAGCAATAGAGCCAAGGCTCTGCAGTTTTATAGTCTGTTGAATGATTATCTGCACACTGATCGCGTACGGCAATGCTACACCCGCGTATGACAGCTGTTGCGATTACCAGTCATTTATATGGGTTTTTACGTTTTTACTACAGCTAAGATCTTTACCCCTTTTATTGAACGAAGATCCCTGGATCATAATAAAGACACCTTTCTTTCATTCTCGTTACTTACTATGATCCTGGCATATTTCAACAGCACTATGTGCCTATTAGTGGATGTCATGTTTCGGGAAGATGCTACCGCCGTGGCATAGAAGTGGCTTTAGCAGCACTGCCTCTTCACCTGCCATGAACAATTCCGTTCTCTTTTGAATTCTGATGCTCCACACTCCATACATGAGGCTAAATATTGATATATAATAACTTTTGTTTTATTTTCTTTTATGTATTATTATTTTATTATTATAATTACTATTACTACTACTACTACTACTACTACTATTATTATTATTATTATTATTATTATTATTATTATTATTATTATTATTATTATTATTATTATTATTATTATGTATTATTACTATTATGATTACTTATTTTGTCTTTACTGTCTCTTTATGCGATCATGCTCTGTTTAATTTCTCTGGACGCGTCGGTTTGTCTTACATGTTTGATCAGCGCATATATATTTTTCTTTCTTTTTTAGAGGAAATAGTGGGTGTATATTTGACTATCTTGATGGACTTCCATCTCATGACGCTTGAATTGGTTCAACTCTAGTTTAATCCTTTGAGCGGTTGCAGGCGTCAGACGGGAAGCTGTGGTACTAGTATCACTGGTTCGGTCATATTGCTCTGGTGTCCATGTTGGGAACACAGTCGGACCTTCGGTCGAAAACTGTAGTTGACGTGGAGGACGTGGTGGGTAGATGGAGGCCCAATCTACATAACAATGCTGCTCCTGATGGTGAAGGTCTAGATGGTGAAGATGATGATATTGATGCTGCTGACGTTGATATTCAATAAGATGGCGTCTTTGCTCATACTCATCATGGTCTATGGCATAATGATGGTATTGTTGTTCATGTTCATGTTCGTGTCCGTGTTCGTATGCACGTTCATCTTCATACTCATTTTGGTCATAAAGTAGACATACAGTAGCTTCTTGTTGACACTGCAAATCATGATAACCACCCAGGTGTTGTAAAGGTACTAGATCTCGCTTTTGATATCCAATAGAGTTGGCTAGAGGAAGAAGCGTCACATTGGTGCAGGTTGAAGACGCAGAAGAATCCTCAGTCGATGAGTTGGATATGGTTGAGGGGGATTCATAGGCAATGGACGGCGCTTCTGTAGTGATAGAATTGCTTTGGTGGCTATCAAGGGCAATATGGTCCACTGAAACACGTGCTGCAAAGGCTGGGAGTAGTGGATTAAACGTCTGGTTATCTGATGGACGTCTACAGCTGCTTCCATTAACCCGTAGCTGCCCCGATTTGTGTGTGGGAGCAAGTGTGTGGTTGATCTCAAAGTGGATGGAGCAACTGGAGGAAGAGCATGATCCACTACCAGATATGGATGACGAGGATGATGAAGATGACGAGGATTGATGGGCCTCACCAACGCTCTCTGAGGATGATGAGAAGGAGCGACAAGAGGATGATCGAGACAGAATCGGGGAGAGGTGCTGAGGCAGCGAGCAATATTGTGCTTCATAAGCTATATCGTTATTTAAGCCTGTCTCGATGGTTATAGTAGGAAGAATCCTTGGAGTTGGAGTAGATAATGCGTTGGCAGTAACAACATTCATAATATTAGTCGCCATAGTCCCGAGAATACCATCATTGGGTCCCTCCAAGGACAATCGGGATGTGCAGGAATTACATGCTACAGTGGGTGAACATGGTAAATAATTGTATGATTGTTGATATATATCATGGCCATCGTCCTCCTGAATAGAGCTTCTCCTACTGAGTGAGGCTAAGGAATGGTTTGCTTCTGCAAGATGAGTTAGTGAGTCTGTAGTACTGAGCGCATGCTGAGATGGGCACTGATGATGGTGCTGATTGTAATGAGGATAGTGGCGGTATTGTTGGCAATAGGAACTGCTTTGGGATCGCACAGAAGACGATCGTCGGTAGGCATTGCTGTGGACGAGATGAGCCTTGGACTGATCATTCGCAGTGCCTGGAGATCGGTGCACAAGTGCTGACTTCAATGGCTTGGCAGATGCAGATGGCGCGAGCTTTGAAGGCCTTATGCTCTTCTTTTTTTGTTTGCTGAACATGTTGTTGAAGGACAGTTTCTTGGAAGGCCCTCGGTTAGTAGCAGATGTAATTACGCTTGTATTTTGTGCCTCCTCAGAAGATAATGGCGACACAACATGGTGATGCACAGACAAGGGTAGTTTTCCATTCGAGTGGTCATGCAAGTCGTTCAGGGAGTGTCGCCGCTGGAAGCCGGCGATCTGACGCCCAACGGTCAGAGGGTTTTCTACATGCGGAACAGAAAAGGATCGATGCTGCTTCGCACGAGATTCTTGTGGAGTGTTGTTATTGCGTGATCCAAAGAAGGAAGAGATGGAGGCAAAGGAGAGACGCCTTTTGATAGATTTGGAGGATAGAGACCGCAATGTACTTTTATCATGAAGGTCAGAATGACCTAGAGCAGAAATGCTTGCGCTAGCTGCATCACTCGAACCCTCGGCCTCCAGCGTTAGGAATGAAGGGTTAAAGATGGATGATGGAGATTCAGCCTGGTCATGAACTGCCGCCGCTACGATCATTAAACTAGGGCTCACCTTGATCGTTGGAGAATTGGGAGGTGAATTCTCTGGGGATGTTAATGGTGTTGCAGTTTGGCCCGAGCAGCGTCGGAACGGCAGATTACCACTTCTATTGCCAAGTGCAGTATCAGCAGAGCTGTTAGAAGAGGTGGATCCGCGATGCTTGCCTGTAGCAAATTGTGTAGACGTGAGCGTGCCACTATTTCCGGAGCTCCCGTTCGCTTCATCTTTGAGAGATGATGACAGCGATACAATACCTTCTCGAGTCTCTAGACCCTTTGTGACAAAGAGACTCTGTTGTTGTCTACTAATAAATACTTTCCGAAGCTTCGCTGCAATTGATGTCTTCTTGGTTATTACCGATTGCGATTGGGCTTGCTGCATTGACTCCGTAAACAGTGGCAATGGGTTTGTTAATAGCCTGGATTTATGATTTTGCTCTGTTATTGTGCTAGTCGTAGCGTCGAAGCTTGGTTCCAGCTCCAATGGGTGAATGGACTGCCTGTTTGTCGAGATGCTTGCGACTCTATTGTAAACATTGTTATTTTGATTTCCATTTATGGAGAGTGTTTGTGGAATGCTTGTAGTCAGAGTAACTGTTGGAAGCCATGCTAACGTTGCGTCAAATGGAATAGAAAACAATTAGTCGGGGAAGAGACGAATGGGAGAGAAATGGTCCGCGGAAAGTAACAATTATAAATGATTCAAACTTCATTAGCTTATTTCTGGACTCCAAATCTTCATAAAATCTTACATTCTGCGCACTCCATCGATGAGAGGGGTCTTAGTTTTGTCTTTGCAATAGCCATGTCAGGAACCAAGGTAACATTGCTACTGCTGCTACTCAAAAGGTCTCGCTCGACCAGCGGAGAGAGACTTGTCTGTGATACAATGGTTACAGTTGACCCAGAACCTTGAGCTGTGTCTAAGGAATTACAAGAGGGTACCGGCTCGACTCCCATGGTAGCTGTTGGGATGGGGGGAATAGACATGGTGGGTTGTGAAAGTAGGGAAGGGCTTTGCTGTTGCCTCTTGACTGTCTCTGTGGCATCGAGAATAGAAGGAGAGGAAGACGTTATGGTTTTTGACGATAATTGCTGGTGTGCATTGACAGTAGAAAAGTTGATGATGTTCGACAGGAGAGACTGAACAGACTTTCTGTGGTTACTGGTTATATCGATATTATTATTGTTGGTTCTTTTGTCATCTATCATCAAACGCGAGAACGCAGTAGTGGTTTCTTGGACATACTGTCTTTGATCCATGAGGCGCGTTATATTGTATTTACGAACCCTCAGTTGTTGTTTTAGTTGCTGACACTTAGATTATTGTTGTGATTTAGTCAAGGACGATCACTGCAAGTAATGTTGGCGAGAAGAGGTGATGGTACAAGCGTAGGTAAAAAAAAGTGCGACAGAGATTAGGAAGAAGATGATGCCTGGAATGAATAAATAAAAGAAGGAACGAGGATGATAAGAAGACGAAAAAACAGAGATAGAAACGGAGAAGAGAAAGAAAGATGGAACGGTGGAAGATTTTATTAGTCGCTTGATGAACAAGATCAACATCCGGCTCGAAGATGGAGTCGTGCCGTACTTTTGTCTGCGAAATAAAAGATGGACGTCAGCATTGGTGTCAGAGAGCCAAGTGGACGAAGCAGTGGCATTAGAACGGCAGTGGAGACGGTGGTGATCGTTGCAGTGCCAGCACCGATGTTGACGGGGCGGTCTTTGGGTACTGGGATTGGAAGCAGACGCGAGAGTGGGAGAGAGATGAGGTGGCGCCCTTATTTTAGCGCGATAGGAGAAAGGCTGCAGTCTAAGCTGAGGATATCATGTTAAGAACGACAAGACCGAGAGACTAAGACAAGGCCTGAGCATTCGAGCATTTGAAAGAAACCCTTTTTGGTTCAAGGCGTTATTTTTAAAAAGACAGACGAACATTCAGAAGAAAGGAGCCATTCATAAAGGATTGGATCACGAGCGGAATGGTAAATGAGGAGATCAGTCAATCAAATAAAGCATACACTGTATACGGAAAGTTCACCGCCCAAGCATGCGGGAAAAAAAAAAAAAAAAAAAAAGATCTGGGCAAGTAAAAAGAATAGTGGTATTTTTTTTACCTTGCTCTCCACAACACGGAGAAGAGCAAAGGGGGTTGATGTTTGATGTTGAATTTACAAGGAAGAGACTCCTTCTATCTGAGCAAAAAAGGAGGCAAGGTGATAATAACAAACAAGGATAGAAATGCTTAATTGGAATAATGAATGATGGAAACTTCGCGCCAACTACGGCGGCAGACCTTAACGAACAGCCAAGCGAACAGAGGAGCAACGTGTACATAGGAATAGGGCGCATAAGGAGTCATGGTGCAATTAATGCGGCTTATTACTTTCAGGGGAAAGAAAAGGTGCCAAATAAACATGAAGTGCTGATAGGGAAAAGGTGGCCATGGACAGCATAGAATTTGTAGTCGTAGGCTTTTCTATTGTTCCATGATAGGAACAAATTTTGAAGGGCGAAGGCAGGAGAGGCCCCATGGATAGAAGGGATGAGGATCTAGTCAGCAGCGCCCTATTCAAGGGAAAAAGGGCGCGTCCAAATCAAGCTTTTCTTTCACCAGTCATATATTCTCGCTTCATTCATTCTAGATATGGACACAGCCTTTTATTTTTATAATTTCGTCAACATTTGAATGATTGATATTTGCTTTTTTTCCTATTTATTTGAACTAAAAAGTTACTTGAGCGAATGTAGCCTGTCAATCATTTTGTCAGTTGTAATAAACAACAAAAGTCTGATATTGGGTATTGCTCGTTCTTGATGTTTGGGGCCTATCTGAGGATCTCTATATTGAGAGCCATATTAGCCCTGCCTTATAATCTTAGAGGAGCGTATCATATAAGAGGCATAAAAAAATAAGCTGAGAGTCGCTATTGCAATATTGAAGGGTCAGATGTGGTGCTGATTATGGGCCGTCAGATTATATGCTACACTTCCATGTATTGAATACCTACCCACTCTTCAACTCATCTGTTAGATATTGACAACTTCAGCAAGATTGATGTCAAGATGTCTGGATGGGTTTTTTTTAGCGAAAACCATTTTGTGGCTTCAGAGTAGAAATTATGAATTAACTCAATTAACCTGTATATCATAATACTATACCAATCAATGAAGCTAAACACTATTAATGATAAACTAAACAAAAGCTTAATACAATGAAATATTGTTAGAGGCGTCAACGCCATCACTATTTCTCCGAATAAAGAAAAAAAGGATACCAGACTATGATCAGTTGGATTTTATCGTTGTAGAGCTACGGATCAAAACAAAAAGCGATTGCGGATATGGATGCCGAAGTACCGTGGAAACAGGGATATTATTAATATCCTGTTCTCGAATAAGGAAGGTGAAACCTAAAATGAAATGAATTGCTGCACGGCTGCGACAGGACAAACCAGTTTAGATAAACCTAAAGAACAATAAGAGTTTAGAGTCAGGTTACATTAAAAATTACTTCCAAAAATGACCATCTTTTTCCACCATACCCAAAATCAAGCTGTCATGCTTATTTGTTTGCAAACAAACGATCTGCGTAAAGGTATTGCCGTGTAAGAAAGGGTTTTAATGGAACGAAATGGATAAATGGATCTCTCTTTTTTTCCTTCTTATCCTTTCTCTTTCCTCATCATTTTGCTTCATGGATTCATTATAAATATACATATTCATTACTGTCAGACATCTCCATCGTTACCGTTCTCATCTTCTACCAACCGTCAGTACCCCTTCCTGCTTTTTTCTCAAAACTGTTGTCCTTTGTTCCTATTCATCCATACATTCTTCCAAGTTCTTTCTTTTTCCTGTTTTCTTTTTTGTCAGCGTTAATACAGAGCATACACATACAAAGGCAATACACAGTGCTGTATTTTGATGGGTTCATCTATTCACTCACGTTCGGACAATGGCACTATAGTCATCGATTCTGAAAAGAATCAGTCTAATATCGAGTCGTCAACATCTCCCTTCCAAAAAACCTCATCGCATACATCCCTTCCTATTTCAAACGGCAAGCAAGAATACATCAATCATCAGAGTCTGTACGAAATGCAGGAAGTTGTGGTTCATGACGACAAGAATTCAAAAGACGCCACTTCATCACCGATCGATCCATCCTTAAAAGACTCAGTTCAGGATAATGGCGGCGATGCTATTTCACCTGTAGTATCTACTGACCAAGGTGTAGTCTCATTACCTTTCAAGGAGCTAATGATCGTGTTTGTAGGATTGATGCTGGGTATCTTCCTCTCATCGCTTGACCAGACGATCGTCTCGGTTTGTACTACAAAAATCGCCAACGAATTTAACGGCCTCAAACAAATTCCCTGGATCGGAACCAGTTATCTCCTGACTTCAACTACATTTCAGCCATTGTAAGTCATGGTCCTAAAGTCAAATATCCATACATTATGTATTACCTGGCTATATATAATGAGATTAACTTTCTGTTTTCTGCATTTAACAAAATAGGTATGGCAAAGGCTCTGATATTTTTGGCAGGAAGACTACTTTCCTCTTCGCCATCTTGATCTTCCTGATTGGTTCTGCCCTCTGTGGCGCTGCCCAGAGCATGCTGATGATGATTGTTGCTCGCGGAATCGCTGGTATTGGTGCTGGAGGCATCATGTCCATGGTCATGATTATTATTACTGACATTGTCTCACTAAGAGATCGTGGTAAATACCAGGGTATTATTGGAGCTGTCTTTGGATTCTCATCCGTCATTGGTCCTCTTCTTGGGGGCGTCTTTACCGACAAAGCGTCTTGGCGCTGGGCCTTCTTCATTAACCTCCCGATCGGTGCTATCACAGTCATCGCGGTCGCCAAGTTGCTCCACTTGCCTCATTCTAAAGGTTCACTCAAAGAGAAGCTCAAGCGTGTCGATGTCTTTGGATCTCTCTCCCTGGTAATCGGCCTGGTATTGGTCTTACTGCCACTGAACTGGGGTGGAAGTGAATATGACTGGGACTCTCCTCTTGTGATTGGCCTCTTCTGCGCAGGCGCAGCTGTTCTTTTCGTCTTCTGCTTGATTGAGTGGAAAGTAGCGCAGGAGCCCATTATTCCATTCCATATGTTCAAGAGCCGTACGAATGTCGCTGTATTCTTGACTAGCTTTTTCATTGGTATGGGTCTCTTTGGTGTCATGTTCTTCATGCCCTTGTATTTCCAGATCGTACGACAAGAATCTGCTACTGCATCTGGTCTGGAGATGTTGCCTATGATCGTCGGTCTCTTGCTAGCCTCTATCTCCTCGGGTATCATGGTCTCAAAGTGGGGTCAATACCGTCCTTTCATCTGGATTGGTCTTATACTCTCCACTACTGGCACAGGTCTATTAACACTTTTCCATGAGGATACTTCTCGTGGCGAGTTGATTGGATACTTGTTCCTGGTCGGACTTGGCATTGGTTTTTCGATGCAGACAGTTATGCTTGCTATTCAATCATCAGTTGAGACTAAAGACATGGCTGTGGCAACTGCTACTGCGACATTCTTCCGAACTGTTGGTTCTGTATTTGGCGTCGCTATCGCGGGTACGGTCTTCAATAACGGCGTCAAATCCAACCTCGACCCATTGATCGACAAGTTTCCTGAAGTTGAAAAGGTTATGGTGGATTCTTACTTGGCACCAACATTTGGTTCAGATCTGGAAGCCCAGATCTTACATGCCTACATGCTGGCATTAAGACAGGCATTCCTTGTCTGTATTCCTTTTATGGGCCTTGCCTTTGTCTTCAGCTTGCTTATTAAGCACCATAAACTGCGCAAGCAGCTCGAGCCAGTGCTCATGGAGTAGAGAATAATATAACGAAGGAGATCAAATCGCATCCTCATTGAAATAGATACCAATTATCCATTGTCCCATTATAACTTACAAAGTAAAGCATTCAAATAAATACAAAATTACACATGTGCAACTACACCAAGAATAACAAAAAAATGCACAGGCTCTGTTTCTGGGAGGTGACGAAGAGGCGAGTGCTTTTTTGAAAAACCACTCAAAACTAGCCTAATCATTTTCAAAGAAACAAAGGAAACAATAAGATATATGCCTTTGACCACATACGCACAACCCCTGCCGCAATAGAAGTTAGAAACTTTGAAAACTCTGAACGTGGAGGTGTGTAGTCTCATCAGCATTCATGCATATCTTTTTTTTTGCTACAGGAGAGTCAGGTCATGATCGCTTAAATAAATCATGGCCTTAAGAGAAACATGCCCAAATAATCAAAACAAACAAGAAAAAAAAAAAAAAAAAGATGGGAGACATGCATGACATTTGTGAAGAGTCCAGCATAAACAGACAGGTTTCTCTTCCTCTTCCAGATTGGAATAAATACGCCTTACTCTCGCTTTTTTTTTTCTTTTTCCTTTTTTTTTTTTTTTCTTTTTCCTTTTTCTTTTTTTTTTTTTTATATCTGTACCCTTGAGCGATGAAGGACCCTTCTTCCCCAAATCACTACAAAGCCTTACTACAAATATTTCACATCGCCTTCATCCTCCTTGGGTTCACTCCTTACTGCAAACCAAGTCGACATTATTTTCTTGCTCCCAAATGACTATTTTCACTTCTCAACCAGATCCAAAATTTCAAAACAATATTAATACAGCACAGCAACAACACTGTCAACAAGGGCATGAGGACGTTTCATCCAACGTTCCCATGCAAGATCATTTATCAGTGGATGCTTCCTCAGATTGTCCACCTACCATCTACGTCGCTGATGCTATTGCACGGAGCTTAATACCCTTGGGGCCGACGTTATTTAACAGAAAATCAGATGCTAACTGTATTCTTGTAGCAGGCAGTCTGCGCTTTTATGTGCATGTTCAATTGTTGTCGGTACGTTTTCTTTTTTTTTTTATTTTTTTTAGTTTATTTGCCTTTTTTTGTCTGGTCTTCAGCGATTTCCGCCAGATCTATGGTCACATCTTTTATAAAACACGCAAACAAAAATATTCATTGTTTGTTTGCATTTGTGCAATATTTATACCATTGAATGAATCCTTTAAACGACACTTTTCCCCTCTTCCTGTAATGGGGTGTACAACACATGGGCAAAGGCTCACATTTGAATGCGTATCAACCAAATGTACAAATATATGAAGCGTATTTACTAGACATTTAGAGTCTTACTAAAACTCTGTCCAATTGTTTTCAATCATCGGTTGCGACTGTCATGATATCACTAGGCACGGTGTCTGACATTTCGCAAAATATTTGACCAGATGATTTTTGATGATGCTTGGGGATCCAAGAGCGATAGCGACGATGACGATAATGGTGGTGATGATGGTGGTAATGGCGATGATGACGATGATACCAGCGAGATCGACAATATGTCGATACAAGGTGATGAGGTCTGTACAGTAGATGACGATGAATCAATGGAGGAAGGTAATGCATCCCTCTTTTCATGTCATTTTTTTTAGGGTCCATCTATAAACCCCTAAACTTTTTTTTTTTTTTTTTTTTTTTGCACCACATTCACAGACCCAGACGCATCCCGATTTGGCAAGAGCTTGGACGAAAACCATCAAAACCACCAGGATCAATCTTACAGCCGTTCTGAAGGTATTCAGAATGAAAGCTCTTTCGACTCTGACATGAATGATTCTCTTCCTGAGTTGAAGATTGAATTTAGGAATCCAGAGAGTAGTCGTTTCGATGAGCTCTTGTACTGGGTAACGCTTTCATATTTCGAAACGAACATTTGGATGACATCCTTTATTCCTATCTCGCACAGTCACTGCTTTCTCACACATTTTTCTGTTGTATGTGTGCGAACCTTTGTATATGCATTGGCATTGGTAGCTCTACACAGATGACGGTCCGCGATGGCTTAGGAGTTTTACTCCTGAAAACTATTTGGACATCCTGGAGAACATCCATATTCTTAATATTGGCACAGCAACAGTGCTTGATCTCTGTCAAACATTTGAACAGTCTACCAGCGAGGATCTAGGCCTCCGCGGGAAAGCCAAGGAGAAGTTACAGCCAATCGTGCCATCTATTCTGACATAGTAACGGCAACAAACCACAAAAAAAAAAAAAAAAACCAATAGGAAAGTGGAACAGAAGCACATAGCCCAAAAAGAAGGTCGGATCAGGCCTTTTTGCTTCCTGAGTCGTCTTCTGCATAACATCCTTATTGCTTGGCCGTTATTCTTTCTTCCTAAGGGGCCCTTTCACTTCATCCCATCCGAGGCGTGTTGCACATTAGATACCCCTCTCTCTGTACATTATGTCTTGTTGAAATGTATCCTTTTCTCAGTAAAACGCCTCTGTTTTTTTTTTGTTCTTTATTTATTTGTTTGTTTAGTTTGTTTGTTTATTCTTTTCGTAGTCTTCAGAACAATAATGATTTAATAAATACTCATGTCGCATCGCATTGTAGCATGGAGAAAAAAAAGTAGCATCGCTGACTGCAGCATGCTGCATACAAAGGATATTTTTCCCACTCCTCTTTCTTTTGAACTCCACTAATAATCACATCAGTTATTAGTTATAAACAAAGCTGACAGTACCATTTGCTCCGTATTCCCTTTCTTAAAAATGATCGTTTTCTGTACCAGTTAGGACAACCATCCTGGCAAGATATTGCTCTTTCACACGATCGTCTGTTACGACCTTCCTCGCTAGAGCCAACCACCCAGGGACACTTAAATCCTGAAGCCCCCAATCTTCTTTACTCCGATACTCAACAACATACTCAGGCTGTTTCTTTTCTAAATTCGCCAGAGTCAGGTTTACCCAGTATTGTGTGTAATGAAGAGGGAACCCAAACGCCGAAGGAGGGACTGCTGGAGGGTTTGGTGGCCTTTTAGGCTTCTTGGGCTTTTTAGGCTTCTTCTTTTTCTTTTTGCCGTTATTGTAATTGTTGTCCACATTGTGACCATACCGTTGAGCAACAAATCCGCTCCACAAACTTTCTTCTTCCTCTTCTTGCTCTACTTCATTGTCTAAATCCCCTGCTTCGTCCTCGAATGATTCAGCTTGAGACCCGTCCAATTCCTCGCTAGGCGAGACAGTCAGCAGCTCATCTTGGCTTTTTTCGGTAGCTAGCTGATAGCTGTAGACACGCAGGCTCGGGTTGTAGGTTGGGACTACGGATGGTGAGACGAGAACGATTGCATAGTCGCTTAGTTTGACTTTCTTTTTTGGGATATCCTCGTATTGCTCCCACAGCTCCAGAAGGTATGAGCTTAGTCCCATGTAGTGAAATTGGTCATACTCGTACTCGAAGGATTTATCTCCACATACACTCTTGTTCTTTCCCATGAATCCAACAGTTGCGGTATTGCTATTTTCGGGCTCTTCAGTGTGTGGAATCTCCTCCTCAGATGGGAGCTCAAACTCACTTCCTTTAAGAGTGGCTTGTGAAAGAATGAAAAAATGGTCAATATTGGCATGACCATAGAGATGTCCTACAATCACATCTTGAAATCTCAGTGCAATATCAGTGTAACGAATAAAGCAAGAGTCCGAATACGACTTGCGAGCAGGTGGCACATGCCCTGTAAGATATGCAGTCATTCCTCTTTTCCTCATTGATTCCAGCTCAACCTCCAGCCAGTCCATTTGATCCGTGCCTGGTTCGTCATCAGAGTCACATCCATCCACAGCTGCGTTCTGGTTGAAAAAGTATAATGTATTCAGCGCAACCACTGCAATCTTGCCAGGGACAACTTCAGCCGTGTAGTATCCACCATGTTGGAACGTATGATATTGGCTTTCAGGGATAAATTCGGCCCAAATCTCTGAAAAATGCTGCAGGATGCGGTTAGGGCCTGCTTCCATAATGTTATGGGGGTATACGTCGTTATTGCCTATTGATGGTACAATTGGGATCCGTTGTTGAAATGGGTCGTCTTTATCGGGCGCAAACACTTCGAGAAATCGATTGGCGATCTCTCTATTCATGTCTTCAATCTGCTTCTGTGTGCGGGGACGCTCGTTATCAGAGTCATGTCTAATTGTAGTTTTATAAATGAAACAATGAGTTAGTTTTTTTTTTTTTTTTTTTTTTTTTTTTTTGATTTCTATTGTCTACTGAAGTCTGGTATCTGCAGTGGTAAATAGAAACTTGGCACTGTGTTCCTAAGACAAGTCAAAAATAACTTACCGTGCATTGTCACCGGTCCAGACTACAAAATCAATCTCATCAAGCAGGTTTTTGTCAATCCATTCAAATGTAGCATTGGTCAAGGAAAAAGGACTGTCGCAGATCGAGTAAGGAGAACCAAAGAGACCACCGACACCACCTTCCGTACGACCGGGACGAAAAATATGTGAACCATCGTTGTTCTCATCATCCGTTGCATTCCTATGGCAAGAGGATGCAATGGTTCCCCCATTGATGTAAAACTCATCTGGATGAATATCGGTGATATGGAGAAATTGACCTTTGAGATGTGATTGATCCGGATCATAACGAGAAGAAAATGGAGGGGAGTTGCGAGAAGTAGGACGGCCAAGGACGAATGTTTTTAAAGACCACTGCTGATGCCACAATGAGGTGATTATACAGCATATCACCAGGAGCCTTGCGGAACGGTAAAAGGTAGAAGATCTTGAATGATAGAGGCGTTTTGAAGAAGAGGAATTGTAAAATGTGGCTGTGACAGGGGTAGAGAAAGAAGTAGAGAAAGATGTTTCTTGGGATTCAGCTTCCATGGTGAGGAATCGAATCAGTTTTTTTTTTTTTTTTTTTTTCCTAAGAGAATAGATTATCAGGGTAGTGTGAAAGTGAAGGAAAGAAAGAAAGAAAAACGAGAGAGAGTAAAGTTTTATTTGAGATACTCATGATCTACTCATAGTTTAAAACCAAGTAACACTATTCAAATATTCATGTATGTCATTGAATGTAATTGACGAATGCAATTCGGATAAAAAACGTGGACAAGGACATGCACTACAAGAGGTGGACAGATGGACGCACAGGACAAGCAACACGACTTTTTTTTTTTTAAAAAAAAAAAAAAAAAAAGTAAAAGAACATAGACTATGTGGCACATGTGGAGAAAAAACCTCTCAATCGCAAGCATGTTCTGCACGAACCATGTCCCACACGTGCATTCCAACCATTGCTCAGCCTCTTCCAAGCTTAAAATCGAAACCCATTTGTAGAAAACACCATGTGTAACATTAAAAACAAAGTCGTCCGGATGTTGGAGCTGTTGGCGACCCTCCTTTCGGGATAATCAGGTAAGCATTACTGCCTTGAGGGCTTCAAACACGTGGAGCTATTATTAGCAGCCGAAGCTTGAAGAAGTAACTCGGAAGGAAAATAGGATCATCTAAACATTAAGTGCTGGAAAAGCAAGGCCATGATCAGTTTTTGTCCTGGTAAATTGTCATCAAGGATCGGGCTGTCTTTTCTTCATCCATTATTCCACTCAGTCTTCGTCGGGGAAGCAAGTGTTCATTTCCATGACTTAATCTTTGAGTTACATCGTTGTTGACGTGAGTGGATTTTCCACTACAGAAAAATGTTTTTAGTACGAAGAAAACACGCTTTACCCCCGCCAAAATGTCATAACAACATTCGCAGTTTTGTTCGTGGGCTGTTACTTGAGTAAGAATGGCCCATTTGTCTCAAGTCTACCGATGCCGCTGGCAATACTTTCAGAAGCAACGCGCAAATACCAAGAAGCCAATGAATGCGGTCTTTTAGCCACCCTGGTCTCCGAGCGATCTTTTTATATAGTGCAAGTGGGGTAGTCACCGCTGCCCTTCCGCTAGATGCGGTGCTACTAGGATCAAGTCATTTGCTCCATTGTAGTAATGGCTCGAGGGTAGCAACAGGCTATTTACTGGTACGAGTCGTTCTTTCGATTTTGTTATGAGCATGCTCATTCGATTGAATTTTAAGAACCAATTTCGTCATCAATGCCGTCATTGGAATGTTTACTTCACAGTCACAGATATATAAACCCATACGGGTGGCGTATCTTTCGCACTCGTCTCTGCAGATGTTTACTATTTCGCCAACCATCAGATTCCAACTGTTGCCTCTACTAATGATAGGGAAGTAGGCAGATATTGGGAGTCATTAGGGAAAGGTGCGTCCGTAGCGTAGTTACTTATTGACCATCTCAACTCACGCTCCTATTATATCCCTCAACGAAGCTTAATTACGGATACCGGTATCTGTAAGCTCGGTAAGATTAGGAGGAGAAATGTTGGTGTAGTACGCTGAACGTTGTGCAAACATTTGACAGTGCTTTCAAATCAGACCATACCACTGATAATTACCTACCATGACGTAGCATGTTGAATAGAATGGTTTTTGACTTCACTTAATTTTACATGACCACAGCTGAACAAACATCACATCGTAGAAGACTATGCGGTCTCAAGGGAGCACAAGGAATTTGGAATCATTTTCATCTTGACAATACATTCGTAAAGGAGCACTTATGGACGGATAGATTCCATAGCGTAGATTTTTGCTTCCTTCCAAAATCAAAGGTTGGCTACATGAACCCTGAACTGAAGATCATTAGAATAAAACTTGTTTTCATCGTTGTGTTACCTTAATATTAGTTTACCAAGGCGACATATTGGGTATGATTCCATAGCTTCAGAGGCGGGTGCTGTTTAAACTAAGACATGATCTTTTCTTACTGTGAGGCCAAGCCCTGGTTGTTATCCCTTCGACCGTAATAAGGGCAAAGATTGCCTTAAACCATATTTCATGTCAATATATTCTCTTTTTTTCAAAAAAAAAAAATATTATGCCGGATCGAAAGAGCACAGAATACTACATTGGATAGCCATCCTCACAAAATCAAGGACCCACTATCCCAATATATTTGTATTCTTAAAACAATGATTGAATTGATTCTGTGGCTTATGGCTTGAGCAGCATCTAATCATCTAATTGGCTGTAATACATTCAGAGCTATTCAAAAAGTATATGGAGTTGTGGCTGCTAAAACCTTTACACTGGTCAACCACGGCCTTTATAGCCTTACGATTGAGGGGATAGTCCCAGAGAAAAATGATTGCATTTACTGATCAAAGCAAGACTTGTTATTTCTTTCATGTAAGATCTCGCGCCAGAATGTGATGCGGCCCGCTGGATAACGATACTAAAGCAAAACGTCAATTGCTTTCACTAGCCATTTTGTCCAAGTTATTAGAGTTGGTGGCGGTGGTGAGGAGATTGGAGTTTGCTAAAGACATTCGTATTTTTATTTTTCAACCAATGACAGCTTGAATACATCGACATTAATCCAAGATCATTTTTCTCCCATGATCGTTAGTCCGATATTTTTAAATAATCATCAGTCAACATCATTGTGAAATAAATAAAATTGTACATATACTTAGCACACACTCATGTCATCATGATTAATGACGGATGTTGCAATACGTGGTTATTAAATTTGTTCATATTGAAAGACAACAGATAAGCTCTGATTGTTTAGAAGGAAAGATATTCGACCAAATAAGCGAGCAAGACGTAAGTAAGTAGTGACGGAAGTAATTATGAAGAATGATGGTTGGAAAAACAAACCACAATAATTTTATGCATAAGATGTAACATTGTTTGGTAGTAACGTTTGTGAAAAGATGATGCACACACGACAGATAAAAAATATTCCGCTTTTTTTTTATAAATCTTTTTCATTCTCTCTTTTTTTCCCTTTTCTCTTCTCTTTTCTTCAATTACACCTTTAGAAAAAGCAGCACTAACAAACAACTCCATCAATAGCATCTCAACTCTTTTTATTTTATCCATCTCAGCTCTTTTTATTTCACCATGGCACAACCACATGACTCTGGTCTCAATTACCTTCCAGTAGACCACTCTCATCCCGATACTACCCAAACTACCCAAAGTATCGTCACTGAGAATGCTTCTGCTGTGCCTCTCGCGTCCGCAGAAGCTACTTTGGCTCGCCGTGAGCGCAGCTCTTCCGATTCTGCAGAGAAGGCTCTGCTTTCTGGTATGTGAAATGCAATATTGTTCATTTCAATGAAGTCTGTATTTCTTTCTTTCTTTTTCCAGAGGATAACAAGGACAAAAACAGGAAAAAGAAGTTGTATCAAAAAAAAAAATAAAAATAATTGCACTGCCGTGTGACTCTTGAATAGAAAAAATACGTTTACTGTTTGGAAAGGAAAATTAGACTGGGTAACCTCTTGAGTCTTTGGTCTTTGTTCTTGTTGGTTCAAGACCTGATTCTCCATTTTATACTTTTTTTCGTTGAACGGGAAACCATTAAAGCAAAATAGCAGGGCCCATCATTTTTGTCAATAAGAGGTTTGATTACCAAACAATAAAAAAAATACCACATGCAATTGTGCTTATCAGTTGTACGCTCCGACCAACACAAAAAATAGGAGGCGCACATGTCTAATCGTGGGCAATAAGCAAAACGGAACAAATAATACACATACAAAAAATCCAATTGAAAAGGAAATGGTTTATGGTTTGATAACTGGGCGTGGGGGGACAAACAAACCAAACTTTTTCCCTTGTAGGACCCAGTCCACAGTGATCCCTGTACCCCCAATTCAACTGTTCGTTGACAGTTACATCGCTGTGCTGTATATGCAGGCACTTTGCTCAATATCGCGTGTCAAAACTAATCTTTTTTTTTTTTTTTTTTTTTTTTTTCTCCCTCCTCACTTGCTATTCATACGTTTCAGACCCTTATGCATACATGACACCTCGTCTCAAGAGCCTTGTCCTCTGGGAGAATCCTACAGTCTCAGGCGGTGCTCTTGCTTCATCTCTTGCTCTCGTCCTCTCTTGCCGCTGGATCTCACTATTGAACCTTGCTTGTGCGCTCTTTGTCTTTGGCATTGCTGGCTCGTTCATCTATGTCAATGGTTTGCTCGTTTTCAACCGCCTCACCAACAAACCCAACGTTCCTCGTCCATTAGAGTAAGTTATTAACGAAAAATCACAAAGCATATCTCTTGAGGGAGCTATATGTCAAAAGAGAACGCAAAAACAAAGGCAATGGACATCTGACATAGTTCTTACTTTAATAATTACTTTATTACAGGAAGTACTACTCTCGTTCAACAGAGTATTTGCACGTGGATGCCGATCGTTTGCATCGTCGAGTCGACTATGTGACAGACGGTCTTAATGTCATCTTCACTGAGCTTGCCAAGGTCGTCTTGGTTGAGGACAATAAGCGCAGTCTCAAGGTAAAGCAATCATTGAAGCAATTGTACCCAAGATGTTAAATGTCCGGACGACTGACTCAAAATAAAATTTTAAATGTTTATTACTATATAGTTTATCGGTATCTTCTACGCTATCTGGACACTTCGCACCTGGTTCTCGACCACCACCCTTCTTTCCTTGATTTTGGTCTCACTCTTTGCCGCACCACGCATCTATCTCGATAATCAGACCTTGATCGACACTCAGGTTGCCAAGACTAGCAATCTCGTCCAGGCTCATGTTGGCAAGGGTCGTCAGGTTGCACAAGAGCAATTCAACAGCGTTTACTCCAAGGCTGAACAGTTTGCCAAAGAGAAGGGTCTTGTGAAGAAGTCTGACAAAAAGCTTGAATAAGCAGACAATCAACTGCACAATCTCGCCTTACTTTTACATGTACTTTGTCCATAGCTTCTTTTTTTTTGTCATTATTATTATTATTTTTTTTTTTTACATAGTTTGAATGTACCTCCACCTGCTTCACAATTCACTTGTCCCCCCATCTTGCAAAGACATTAAAACATTAAATCAACAAAATAGATACTAGGTTAGGTAGTTTGATTTATTATCTTGTTCAAAGTGTTATAAATGTCAGTTCTTGTTGGAAATACCAATGCGCATTCCCACCCTCACTAGCATCTCGATCTGGTTCTTTGATGATTGAAGCAAATCCTCATCAAATTGGATACTGTTTGGTTCAAACAACACTACAATAGTAGACCCACCAAAAGCAAAGTATCCATGTTCATCCATGCGTTCAACCGCTTGTCCTCCTCGCGTTGTCAATACAATTGATCCAACCATCATGGCACCAATGGCCACATAGGCTACCGTGCCAAATTCTTTGGACTCTAATGTCGATATCACACGTCTGTTCTCACCATAGACATCTAGTTGGCTGCGGATTGCCATCGGATTCACAGTATAATACGTGCCTGCGATCTCCTTGGGCTCCGAGAGAATTCCCTTAACAGGGATATGGTATCTTTTTTTTTTTTTTTTTTTAAAAAAAAAAAAAAAAAAAAAGTGTTAATGGCACAACCAAGAACTAAATGTTAATGCCTCTGCAGAAGAAAAGATCATTTTAAAAAAATTATGCAACCCCTTCTTTTTTTATACCTGTGGTAGTCCTGTGGCGCCAAGCGGAAAATGGCAAGGCTGCCGCCATCAAACTTCTTGGCAAGCTCCTCATCGCCGAGCATCTTTTTGATAGTGAACTCCCTGCCTTTGATCCAGAAACGAGTCGCATCTGAGATGGTCTGAAAACAGGTCATACGGCAGTCTGCTACGCTGACGGCCACTCGTTCGTCACCAGGGAAGCTCAATGCGCGAGCATCAGATTTAAGTTTGCGATAAAAGAACTCATTAAAGTTCCTAAAGTTCTCAATAGGCTCTAAAACTTCTTTCATGTGCACTTCAAGATTGTGGAAACGAATGAATGGTTCAATATCGCGCTTGGATCGAGGATCATCGAATTTAAGGCCCTGCCTCCTTGACATGTCGGCCAAAATCTTATTGACATGGATTTTATTAGCTGGACTCTTGTATAGCAAACGGATACCCAAACGGACAAACGTCGGCATCTTTTCCTCGAGCATCATTCCCGTAGCTCGATCCTGAACAATAATATTGGCATTGCTCTAATGAAAAAGAAATTTAATAATAAATCGCCAAACCGTCAATAACGAATAGAAACAAAAGTTTTTTTTTATTTTTATTTTTTATTATTATTAAAGGCGAAAAGAGCAGTGTAGAAATTGGAGTGAATTGATGAAAATAGCCTCGTACCTTGTTAGAGCCATAGCGGCCATATCCCAAACTCTTGACTACCTTGGTAATCCACTTGCGTTGTGCATTCGCCTCTGTAACAAAATTCCCAAGAATGAGCTTATCCAGGTTGAAGCCATCGTTACCAGAGCAGACAGCAATATGTGTAATAACATCTGTCTCCGTTTTGTGGCACAGGCTCGAATCATGACAGATCGGACAAGTGGATATCCTGACCAAATATTCTTCTTCTGACGTCTGAGGTTCAAAATCCTCCTCCGTGGGCTCCTCAATGTCCAGAGCCTCAGGATTTGATCCGCTTGGTGGCTGATTGCGTGTAAGGTGCACATAAAGCTCAGCATCTTCCTCCTTTTCTCCTTCTTGAGTATTTTTGTCACTGCCTTTCGATGGCTTTGGGAATCGTGAGAAATTGAACAACTTCTTTGTAACTGTTTCGGCAACCTCTTTCGGCACTCCATCATCTACACGGACTTGTGCCTCCAGCCGCTCAAAGAGCTCATCGAAAGTAAGACCAGGGCCCTCGGGATCCTTTTTGAACGGTGCAAAGAATCCATCAATAGTCTTGCTTGACAATGTTGATCCAAGGCCCTCAAGCATTGTCTGAATCAAGACTTTATTGTATAGCCCACTCTGATTATTAGTATTATAGGACTTGACAAGACTATACCAGAATCTTCTCCGTAGCGTTATGTAAGGCACAAACTTGGCGCGAATTCGAAGCTGAGGATCCTCTGATGTGACCTTAAGACCACTGTAGAGATCAATTTTGAGAACAAAATCCTTCATATCAGGATCTGTGGGTTCGTTTGTGCCATCCGAAGCAGACTCACCGTTAACATGGCCATGGATGTCGTCGCTGGTATTCGCAGCCTGAATAAGGTCCTTAACATTTAGCAACGCGGAGCCTACGTGGTCGTTGCCACTGAGCTTATCCCAGTCATGAATGGAGCACTTGATCTGGAACATTTCCTCTCCATGATGGACTCTGAACATGAGTTTAGCCTTCCAGACAGGATTGAGGTTGTGACGAATAACTCGTGTCCGGAAAATATATTTTCCAAATGAGATAACAACAAAAGGATCCATATCGAAGCCCGTCCTGGTCATGTTGTGTAATTTCGGCAGATTTGCTGCCGAGACAACTTCTAAGAAGACAATACCGTTCAAGCTGTTGGTTGGGGGCCCTGCGGGAGATGAACTAGATTCTGGATTAGAGTCGCTATGGCCAAGAGAGGGATCTACTTCGGGGCCAGCCATAGGGATATCGGCCATGGATATGACCGTGTTATCCGTGGGGCTACGAATTGTTCGTTGACCAAGACCCAGGATGTTACGGCTTTCTGACAAAATTCTCCAAACTTCTGAGCAGCGTTCGCGCGAGTATTCATTAGAAGGAGCGAGTACTGAGTCAATGAATCCGAATTGAACTTGCACTATCGCGTAAAAAAAAGGAAATGATTAATCCCCCCGTACATAAACTGGAATAAACCTGCAAGCGAGATGTCCATTCATTCACACAAACCTTCTCCACTAACTTTGGACGACTTTCCTGGAAGAGAACCGAGCGGGAACCATTTGGGCTAATTTATATGACGCATATCATTGCAAAAAAAGGTGTTATTTTAGCTTTCGAACAAATACATTTCAGTAAGTGGCGAGTTCTCTGATAAATGACATGGGACGAAACCCAAGCTCGATATAATAATGACGACTTTTTTTTTTTTTTTTTTTTTTATAATTTTTTTTATATAGCTCTGCCACCATTAATGAACCTACTCCTGCTTCCACTCTCCGTTGTCGCCTTTGCCGTTGTCGTTGTTACTGCTTTAGCTACTTGCCATATAAGACTCAATAACAGGATCACACAGAGCAAAGCCTTTGTTTCAATGTCATTCACTGGGCCTTAGTTTCCCTAGATGACAGAGTGAATAAATTCAAGAGAAACTTACTGTATTTTCGGGATCATCATAGTGTTTGGGGACACCGTCACTCCAGATCGACGACTTATCGAAAGGGATATTAACAATGCCCATAAAGTCGTCCTTGCCAATCCGATCCTTATCCCAGAACATCAGAGTGATATGGTTAGGTACGGACTGGGACTCAAGGTCAAAATCGTATGATACATTCCAAATTGGATTCAAGTTCTTCTTGACGACATTCGTTGTATAAGTGTGTCCGCCAATCGAAACCTTCACATATGGGTCAGATAAACCATTCTATGTTTTATAAGTTAACACATGTTGCAGATAAGATGAATTAAATATAGATAACAAAAAAAAAAGAATAAAGAATGAATGAATGTGGTTTGAAGAATAAATAACGACTAAAGTTGGACAACCAGAGATAGTCGATATAGTCCTTAAATCATACAAGGTCTTTGGGAGGCAGATTCTCCGCCTTGAAAATAGTGATGCGCATCGTTGCGGTTATTTCCCCTTGGTCAGACATGCCTGGCTGTGGTTGATGTGTTGAAGACAGCATTCTGCATAAATGAATGTGTGTTTATTATTGTTGGTATTATTATTATTATTATTCTTTTTTTTTTTTTTTTTTTTTTTTTGGATGAAAGAATAGTAATGAATATGAAAAAGAAAATAAAATAAATGATGGAAAATGTAGCGCGAGTTTCTTTCACGCATTTTTACAATGTCCCGATATCATTTATTTTGTTCCTATGAAATTATGTAATATTCACTGTGTGGCTGTGGCCAACTTGACCGGCTTTTCAAAAAGTTCCTTCCGCACCAGTGCCCGTTCTTCCTCTGACAACACGAAAGACTGCACTTCGCTATGGATTTTGCAGCGTTCCATGTTCCCTCCTCTGGAGGATAAACGGCAGCTCACAAGTTTATCATCTGCTTGTTTATGCAGCAAATGTATCAAATGAATTTCCTGTTGGTTCAGCCCAAGTGGCGTAGTGAACTCATTGTCATTATCTGTAAGTGCACAGCCTTTGCATCTGTCATTCTTTTCACCCTCTTGTGCTTCGGATACCATTTCCATAAAGTGGACTGTTTCTTCAAACCATTCCTGATCTTCCAAAGCCATCTCACGTTCTTGTATTTCATCCTGGCACTTTGGGCAACTTTGTACATCCATCAACCCACCGCTTCGAAGTTGACTTGGACGAAACCTCCAACCGAATTCATGGTCGATTGCAAAAGCCCCAGCACTTTGTGCTTTAAATTTTTTTAGAGCCCTCATCGCTTCAAACCGAGTTCGAATAGCTTTTGATAGTATTTGAGCAGAGTGCTCATGCCATGCCGCCATCCAGCGATGATACATCACCAATTCTTTGTCGTGCAGTGGTAGTGTCAGAAATTCGCTCGCCTGAGGATTGCTATGAGCTAAGAGACGCGTAAAGGCGTATGCCAGGCTATAGTTGTGATCGTTGCTTCCTTCACTAGAATCCGCTTCTCCATGCCTTTTATCTCGACCCCCAAATTTCTCTGGGCAAAAGGTATCCGGTAGACTCAGTAGGTGCATCAGTGGATAATTTGAGGATCGCGCCATAACCTGGTATACATTAGAGCTCCGCGGGACAGACTCCACTCCTGCTTCTACTGAAGTAGCGAACCCACTATCAGTGGTATTGCCGCCGAAGCTAGGCGCAGATCTGACTGGAATGGGACAGAATGTTTTCCATCGCGACACACCTATAACTTTGGGTGCTGTATAGTTTCGCTGTGAAGGCTCTCCACATTCGTCTCCTAGAGATGGCATTTCGAATTGAATAATAAGATCATCCAGTGAAAAATCAAAGCGACGGATCCAGGAATGTTCTCGGGCGTCACGGTATAAGGTCTCCACGTCTGGCAATGGCTTCAAAGAACGGGACGACGCGCCTCTTTGTACTTTAACACTTTCCTGGACCTGCGCACGTGTGGTTGTCATATACTGTGGTGAGATTTGGTTATCCAGATGGAGGAATTGTGATTGTGATAAGCCCTCATGCTCGCCTTGATCTTTTTGACAGATGATGGAAGTCTGGATCCCCGAACTACAACTACCCTGATCATAGGTCAGTCCCGAATCCTGCATAGCAGAGCGAATGTTCCCCGGAAGAAGAGCCGAATGGACATTTTTTTGTGTTGCCTCTTTGAATGCATCTATAAACAGTCGATTAGAAAAGGCTTTTTCCATTTTACAAAGACGTCTCTCTGCCGTCATCTGAGTGAATGGGTAAGCAGGGATCGGAGTATTTCGTCGGCTTTGCTCTTCCTCATCCTCCATATCGATGGTAACTGACTTCTTTAATGGTGTATCTGTCGAAGCCCGTTCAGGAATGTGCGTCAGCTGGGTCAAAGAACTGGATGTTACTGGACAGAGAGTATCGTAGACATAGTTACTGACTCTGCTTCTTCCTTGTCCTTCTCCAAGGCACTCAAAATTATCCCAAATAGTACTTAATATCCTGACGAGGCGTAGCATTAACGATTTTTGTTGAGACCTGTCGAGTTGTGACCAGACATCCCTCAGAAGGCCGCATCGCAAAGCGGTTTCCGCAGGATCCTTCTCAACTGATAAGCTTTCCTCGATGACAAAATCAAGATCAATTTGTTGCAAGTCAAATGGAATTGGGTTGTTATCTTGGAGAAAGAACGCACCTGCATTAGACGTAGCCCAGGCCAAAATGTTCGGTAAGTGCATAGCAGGTTCTTCTACTTGCCTAAAAGCCTCCGGATCGGTGATTGGGTCTGGCAATGTAAATTCTTGCTGGTTTTTATCTTTAAAAGAGTATTCAACAGGATTAGCCATGCACGTGTTACTGCTTGATTCTGCACTGCCGTGAGCTTTTAGGATACGGAGCAAGTAGTAAAAGGTTACTGATTTTGACTATTCTACTAGGTTCTGCTCTAAAAAGAGTAGGAAGAGAGATAAACGAGATCACTATGGCTTGGACGTGCCCTACCTTGGTTTAGAGGCGTAGTTTCCCTATCTGTTACCCTCAGTTGTGATAGCCCATGTTTGGAACACAGATACGAGGATGTATCCATATCCAGTTGACGCGTACATACAAAATCACTTTCGGCTTCAAGGAGCAGCAAATCTTCAAGATCCATTCGAGAGGAATCATATAGACGATGTAGTTTTTGCTCCTCTTGCCTCTGGACCCAGCACTTGTAGCGCTTTAAAAGGATTATAGGCTTAAACTGTTCTAAAAGCGTGCTTGTTTGACTACATTTATAGTCTAGAAGTAGTGGGACGTTGTCTGAAGCATCACCATTATATAGGTCTGTTGGGCTTGAACTGGGCTCACTATGCGATGTCCCGATGCATCGAATATATGACCGAACGTCGCAAAGGGCTTGAAAGCTGAAAGGACGCACACCAGGTGGTGGAGCTGGTTGACTGGCTGGAGAAATTGCCATATCCGTTGCAGTAGCCCCTCGTCCGCCCTGTTCGAGCCCAGGAGCTGACATAGTTGAATATAGCCATGAGTTACAACGTTCTTTCATGCTCTCCAAAGACTGATGGAGCTCAAGTGCCTCTTTTTTAGCCATTAGTAATCTGTGCTTCTTTATCGAGAGTTCGATACCATCGCACGTTGGGCTCGTGTTTTCAAAATCTGCAACAGTCTTTTTGCTTATGCAACGATAAAGCATTCTATACGAAGCTTGCTCTCGATTTAGCATTTGCAAAATGCGTTCGCGTTCTTGGAGCAGCTCGATATTAAATGAGAGCTCCTGGATATCCCGATTTGTATCCATGAGCCGTTTTTTCATACATCTCATCTGACTTTGTTGATACCCATGTGATGTCTTGTCGGCTGTCAATCCCATCTGAATAAGCTGCTGTGTGTTTTTGACGTGTAATATGACACTACTGGGGGTCGATGTAGCTGATCTAGTATATTCGGCAAATAACTTTGGGTCGTATAATAATGCGTCATTGCTGCAGTAGACAGTCGAACTTCTAAAATGAGGCTCCCTATCACCACTATATGCTTTAGAAGAAACCAGTCTCATCGGCCCAGAGACCATGACAAGGACAACTGAGTACCGGCAATTAACAGGAAACATGGCAACATATGACGGTAGCGCCACAGCATGCTCATTTGGAAGGAGTTGGATTGGGAGTTCGCCACAAATCTTATGAATGTGGCGGAGAGCATTAGTTGATATCAAAGGGATCACTGTTGGAGAGATAATACAGGCAAGGTAGTCTCGGCCATTCCATGTAAATGTGGGTGGTATACCCTGTAACTTTGAGAACGTTATAGAGTAATTCAACCACTGCTCGACCAGATCTCCTTGTGTTGCTTCTGCCTGGGATGTCGAGTGCGAGGATGATAATGGATTTTTGACTGATGGAGGCGGTTGTATGGCTTTTCCATCATTTTCGAGGATAACTTTGGCTATAAACTGGTCAGAGCCCTCACTTAAGGGATCTAGAGTCATACCCAGGCCTAATGAGCAGGACAGAGCGTGTCAACGTAGGTTTAAAAGAAAAGTTATCATCATATACCGAATTAGGGCTGGAGATATGCCTAACCAAAAGGCAGGGAGCGTCATCATACAACACACCTGGGAATAGGCTCTCTAAGTCAAAATCACTGTTGCTCAACGTTCGTAAAGACGAAAATCCGTCCGTTGGCTGCTCAAAAGTGCCTTGCTGATACCCTTTTTTTGTTTTTTAAAAAGAATATTATTAAACACATATACATAAGTCTAAAAAAAAAGCATATTTCTAAGGGCTCATTGTGCCTGGATAGACTACCTTGAATATCGTCAAAGGCCATGGTGGCTCACAGGGCGCGTTTATTGAAGTCTTCTCCCATGGAGACCATGCTTCTTAAATATCGAAGGAGTGACTTGAGACACTGATCAATTCACAAACACAAACAGGTCACGTGAAATATAATGTACTTGTTGAGGAAGCTTTTTTCGCACACTGTTGTCTCAATCACTTGCACCAGAATGTCATTCTTCCAAAAAGACTACAGCGCATACCCACAACCAGTTGTTGTCACACCGGATCCTGCCTACACAGGCGGCGCCATTTCAGAGGCAGTCGCAGACGCCATTGCTGATGACCATCTTTTGAATAGAAGCAATGCCCAAGCATCAACTGGGACAACGTCAACACAGGATAAAGAGCTAAAAGATGGAGATGCGCAAAAAGAAGCATTTGCTGGGTCATCAGAAGACATGTTCAATGAAAGAACCACAGCTTATGGGGAAGATCTACAGCAACAACAACAAGGCACAAAAGATGCATCAGACAAACTAAGCGATGGAATCATGTCTTTACTAGGACCAATCGTGCAAGAAATGGATTTTAACATCGTTGCTGTTCGCAAGAGTCAGACCGAACTCGAGAAAGAAGTCGAACGCCTTATGGCGGGTAAGTCTTCCTTTTTTTTTTTGTGTTTTAATGCTTTATAATATATTAATTTTCACATTTTGTATCCATAGAGCTCCAGCTATTTATGGCATCCTCTGCAGCACCGCCTGAAGTAGAGCCAGCAGTTCAAAAACTTGTGAAGGCAAGGCGCCAGATCATGACCGCCAATTCGACATTGAAATCTGTACAGGACCGTGTCGATAGGATGCATCTTCAAATTGAGAAACGACATTAAATAGACAGCAAATGTGATGATTTTATTTTCAGATTTGCAGTCTTTGCTCCACCCACATCGGTTCGTATACAACTACACCGAATGTATCGAGCCCCAGTTGCTATGCATCAGCATCATATGCCTAATTTTTTCTTATTATGGTTGTATGTTTAAATGTTATTTGTTAGTGAGCCACTTGAAGAAGGGTAGGTATCTCCTTATCGTCCACTGACTGAAGCTGAGATTGAGACAGAGTGCATCTCAACATTAATACTTGACGACCCTGCTGTTGAATTTGAAATTTGGACAATATCATCTCGTTCTCCGCTATGGATGACTAAACAAAAGAACAAACAGTAATGCTTAGATCCTTGTAATTTGTTTGCCAATATCTCTGAAATCATTATCATAGCTGAGAAACGAAGGGGAAAGTACAAGCTATGATCCCGTAGAACTCTGAATGGAAGAACCATCCGCCTTGAATGATTTCGACTCTGCAGTTTTGGCAACTTCCTTCATCTTCGTCAAGAATTCATCCTTCATGCAGTATTGAGTGTTAATCCTTGAGAGAATGGCGTTTTCGTGGGTCCCTAGAACAGACTTTTTAGACTAAAAAAAGAACACGTTAGTGTTGGGATAGTTTTGTCGAGACTGAACATGTGGTCTTGTTTGATTTTGTGGAGATTGTATGGTAGTACAAAATTCTTTTGATCTTTGTGAATGTACTGCAACTTCACGAGCCCAAGATCCGAAACATATTTCTCCATACCTCATCCTTGTAAACAGTCAACTTTACTGGGTGCAGCCCACAATTAAGGGTCTCGAGTCGTGGGGAAAGCACATAAAACCGACGGCTCGGCCTGATGTCAATATTTCATAGTCATTGATAAGGTGGTCCCGAACTGGTTAACAATTGGCACCAAAGCTTTCTTTTTTGTGCTCAAAAATAAATAATAAATAATAAAAATTAAAAATTAAAAATTAAAATTAAAAAGTACCATGGCGATTCACCATCCTGAGCTTGAAGTTCAATTGCATTGACTTTTATCGGATTCGCAAAATCTGCAGGATTATGTAGCTCGGCTTCAATGACGGCATTTTTAGGGATGTCCCGGCGTGCTTCGACCAGCCAAGAATAACTGATAAGCAAAAGTGAAAGACAAATAGCTTTTTTTTGGTTAGCAAACTATGATTAGGTGAGGCATGATATGGACTCATTGAAGGATATGCTTCTCGTAAAAAGAGGTCGTACTGAGCAGAAAGGGTCTATATCAGCGAAGAAAAAGAAATTGTTGAGGATTGTAAGTGGATCGAGCCAACTCGGCCACAATAACACCATAACATACGGAACAATTGACTTGTCATTACCTGGTATTTGGTGTTGATGGCAAAACTAGCAGCAATATCTTCCTATTGTAGTATATCTACTGGTGTAAATGCGCTAGGACTATAGTAATATAAATTTCTTATTTTTTTTTTATACTTACAAAATACTTTGACTTCTTGAACTGAGGTTCCTTTGGTTGCTCGGTAGAATTGCATCCACAAGTGAATGACATGGCTTATTGTTGATGATTAACAAGGAGAAATGAAATGGAATGAAAAAGAGGGCATGTTCTGTAAATTAAATTATTCTTTGTGCTTTTATAGCTTTTATCTTGTGGTCAATGCAGACGCCTATTCATTTCTCTTTGTTCACAAGGTTGGTTTCCGATATGCTCTTTGACTTTTCATCATTCCCACCACGGCATTCATAGCCCCTCTTCATGAAAGTTGAAAGTCTCACTCATACCTCTTTATCCACTTCACTGGTCTAATTTATGAAAAAAAAAATGGTATCATTTTATTCCAAGTTGGATACTCCTTGCCAAAATGAGGATCTTCAACTCAGCCACCTTGTGACGTATAAATTTCGGTCAGCAGCCAGAAAAGATTCTTGAAGGATCCATCCCAAGTAAAAGCGAATCTTGAATTCGACCTATCTTTGCCGAATTCCTTTCTTGTTCCTCTGTTTTACGGTCATCGCCTATCAAGGACCTATCGAGTAACATTAAGGGATCTGATAATATATAATCAAGCATTCAAACATGGAGAGCGCTGAAGGTTGGTGCATAAATTAATGTCTACAAATGCAGAGCGACAGTGCTGATGTGTTCATTAACTTTGTATTGTATGACTACATGTCATCATAGTCAAAACAAGCAATGTCGAGCAGCAACTTGAGCAGCAGCAATCCGAGCAGCGATCAGAACAGCAATCAGAGCAGCAGCAGCAGGAACAAGGAGACGTCGCAGAGGAGCCAGCTTCCGTAGCTGAACCGCCAACTACTACACCTAGTGGAGCTCCTATGCCTACGACAACAGATCCCACTATGATCGAGGCATGGGATCGCTGTTGGGCTATAGTCAAAGCCACACCCTCTGAGTTTGATACTTGGGAAGAGCTCATGCGCCTTGCAGATCGACAAGACGGTGGATTTGGCCCAGAGGCACCTCCAGCCAACATCAAAAATATCAGAACGATTTACGATGCTTTTTTGAGTCAATTTCCGCTTTGCTTTGGCTATTGGAAAAAATATTCAGACCTTGAGTTTTTATCACGTGGAGTTGAAGGCGCCATTGAGGTATAAAAAAAGATGCTGGTATTGTCTCAGCCATTAATTCTTTTTTCTTTCACAGGCCTTAAAAACCGATGGTGCTAACTTAATGGTTTTTATATAGATTTTTGAACGGGGTATTACAAGCATCTCCAATTCTGTCGACCTTTGGGTTCAATATTGCTCGTTTGTTATGGAGCAAAAGCCAGATGATACGGATGCTATTGAACGGTGAGTGCACGATTGTGTAAAGCATATTCCCTTTTTTGTTGCTTCTGTATTTCTCACTACCCTCGCGTGTTACCAAATACGCTCCTCTCCCAGTCGACTTGTAAATCACCATCTCTGTAACCATTCTGGACTCTTCTTGGTTGTGGCATAACATAACAAGAAAGTTTTAAACAACCCCAGGACGTCTCTACTGCGCGTCTTGAGGAACGAAATACCCGATTGCTTCTAGAGTTTGGCTATTTCCATGGATATGAAAACGAACACGGACATTAGGAAGCTCTATTTCAATAGCCGATGGTTTAAATATCAGGACGCTAGGGCAAGCAAATATTTCGTTCTGCTGTAAATTTTTGTGTGCATTTGGTATTTCTGCATGGTCACCCAAAAATGTTTTCTGATGAAACAGCAGTACCACACCATGACTGTGGCGCTGACCAGTATTTGCTTTGGCGATACTTGTGAGAGTATGACATTTTCTTGTCAAATATTTTGCTCCGCCCGACGCAAATATGCGAATGTTGGAGTTAGGCGCACGGCTGCGAGGTCGCCAAGACCACGAACCACTGTCGATCCTGCTGATGAGCATTGCTTTGATCAAAATGTGATTTTTTCAATATTGCACTATTTCATTATTTCATTATTTTATAATTTTTTATTTATTTATTTTCTCCTTTATACTATTTCATCTGAGGTTGTATTTTTGTTCGTATTGTATTCCTTGGAATATTGGTACTAATACTACTGCTCCTGTCGTCAACAATATGCTTTTGATAGATTATTTGAACGTGGAGCGGAAGCCGTTGGGATGGACTTTATGCCTCATGTGTTCTGGGACAAGTACATAGCTTTTTATGAGGAGAGGCAGGAATATACCAAATTGCCTGCACTAATGGAGCGTATCATCAGGATTCCTATGCACCAATACGCTCGATTTTATCAGCAGTAAGAAATTACACTCACGCCATGATGAACTGAACTCAATATTCGTTATATGGCTGGCTAATGTTTTATTGCTTGTTCATTTTGCTTGATTCGTTCATTTCCTGGCATGATTAGATATGTCCAGCTTTTATCATCGCGACCGCTGAAAGAGTTGATTTCGGAAGAGTTATACAATAGATATAAAGCTCAGCTAACAAATTCCAAAGTTAATGCAGAAGGGGACCAAAATCATGAAGCAACAGCGACAGTAGAAGAGAAGTCACAGGAGCAGCTTGAGACGGAAATACGTCAACTGATTATGGAAGAAAGCGCGAAAGTGCATGCTAACACAGCCGAAGAGACGAACAAGAGATGGCCATTTGAGGCAGAGATTAAACGTCCTTACTTCCATGTTAAACCGATGGATATGCCGCAGTTGGCAAACTGGCGTCGCTATCTAGATTTCGAGGAAGCTGAGGGCAATGTAGAGCGTATCCGTATTCTTTATGAGCGCTGCCTTGTCACCTGTGTAAGTATCATTTGCTTATCCATTCATTCAGTTTCTCTCGTTGTCTCTTTTAATAGTCATCACGACATCGTTTATTTGTTTCTAACAGATGATCGGCCTTATTGGGTTCATTACTAATAGGCATTATACGAGGAATTCTGGCTGCGCTATGGCACCTGGGCACGGTCTCAAAATGACTTGGAGGCCCTTCAAACCATTTATTCAAGAGCGGCACTGATGGTCCCTCCTTCTAATCCATCAGTCCGCCTCACATTGGCGCTTGTTGAGGAGGAACGAGGTGATACAGTAGCAGCGCGTCGACAATATCAAACTATCCTAGAAAATCGTGAGTATATTTTTCTATGTTCCGCTATTGCCCGATTTTTTACATGAAAGCGCTCATTGATTGACTTTGGTTCGTCTTCATTTACGTTCTAACTATGACCAGTGCCTGGACACATCGAAACCATCGTTCGTTTTGCTAATTTTGAAAGAAGAATATCACCTCAGGACCTTGCAGCAGCCGAGGTGGTCTATGCATCTCAATTGGGGCTAGAAAATGTGGACGAGGTTACTCAGATGGCCATAGTGACATTGTACGCTAAATTTCTATGGCAGGTCAAAAAAGATGTGGGCGCTGCACGGGCCATTTTTAAGACTGGCGAAGGAAAATTTGACAGTCGATTTTATTTTTCGACCTATCTAAAGTTTGAGATGGATCAGCCTGGTAATTTTTTTTTTTTTTATTTTTATTTTTTATTTTTTATAAAATCTTTTTGAGGGTCAACTCATAACCGAGACTAAGTTTTTTTAAATACATGTAGGCGATGACTACGAGAAACGTGTGTCAGCAGTTTTTGAACAAGCTCGGTACTCTGGTTTACCCGAGTCTATTAAGAACGATTTCGGGCAAAGTTATCTCGACTTCGTTATGGAATTTGGATCATCGGCAGCAAGGTACAACCAATTGGAGGCAGATGTCAAAACACCTTCAGTATTTGTGGTTGAGTCTAAGAAGCGTGCTGCTGCTGCTGAGCAGGCAGATGAAGTGGAGAGAGCTAGGAAACAGGCCAAGCAGGAGGACGTTACAATGGGTTCATCAAGCTCGGATGCACTTAATCCTGGTGTCATCAATGGTGCAGTTACGACTATTGTATCAGTACCTCAGGATCCAACAGTAGCTGCAGTAGCAGCTGCAGCCTATGGCCAACAGCCACAATGGAATGCTCAGACAGGAGCATATGGCTATCCAACACCGGTATGGTACTTGCTGTATTGTTTTATAACCCAGGGCACTTATTGCGGAATCTAATTTTTTTAATATTTAATTGCTTAATTACTTAATTACTTAATAGGGGTATCCGTACGGAGCGGTGCCAGCTCAGGGTGGTACTCCATGGGACTATGGATCTCATGCGGGCGGGACGTATTAGCTGTGGATAAAAAAAAAAATAAAAAGGGTGACAGCATCATGACCCAATAAAAAAATAAGAAAATAAAATAATTGATCTGTGATTTTACACTTCTGAAAAGTGACAAGTGCCTGTGTTCCTGAAAGCACAAAAGAGTGTCATGCTTTGGTCACGTTATGCGTTTTTTCAGACATCTCGCCCACCTCTTCTACATTGCCCTTTTTCTCGTTGGATCCCTTCATCACTCTTACTTTAATTTGAGAATTTGGGCTCCATTCCTTCGCCTAGCATTTTGTCTCATTCTTTTCTCTTCTATTCTTTTATACAAATAAATCCGGCTTGCTCTTTCTGTCACTTCACGATAGCATACAATATAGCACAACGCAACACAGCACAGCACAGCACAACTCAGCTCAGTATCACTTTTTTTTAAACTGTCGCCACCAAAGAGAAAGACTATAATTTGTAAATAACAGTATTTATATAAGCAACAACAACGACTATAACTATACAGACAATCATTTCAGTTCTAATTTAGCACCAGCATTATCCAACAACACTAACAAAAGCAGGCATACTCTTCCCTTTGTTCTCAAAATCCTCTCCATTTATCAGCAATTACTTCCTTTGTCAGCCTCAAACTAAAAGCATACTGACTGACACCCTTTCTGAACACACAATACAGTTCTGTATTTATTTCTGGTAAGGAATCGATCTATTTACAACAAAGCGTTATTGTTCTCAGTGAGGTGTATGTGGTGGGCCAGATCTTTTTGAGTGACCATGTCGTCCCATCTTTTGTTACTCATGTTAAAAGGATGGGAAGCGAATTGCGGATGAAAGTAAGCTACTCTTCAATAGGTTGCTACTTTAATTATTCTCATACACCCAATAGACACAATAGTTTATAATGGCGGCATTTTACAAACAGTCGCAATAGAAGTCAGGCGTAGTGCGAGTGTGCATGTGTGTTTAGAGTGAAAAGAAATACTTTTTTCTATTGTCCAAGAGACTGAATGCATCTTATCAGTCATGACATTCTGTAAAAATACTAATAGACACTAATCTTTGCTGTATTTTTTTTTAGTATTGTGGGTGCCGTGAGTGAAGTGTGACTACGGCCTGTTTGTAGTCCACGTTCACTTACTCTTCAACCGAGGCTCAGAAACTGAACAGATTCACACGCCTCAGCCCCTATCCTTCACATAAAAGCAGCTCGTCTCTCTTTTTTTTTTCTTCAGCTTCAACAGGAGACCTTTATCACCTTTACTTTTCTTTATTTTATTTTTCACCACTAACTATTTATACCTTACTGACAAGCAACGCTTGCACAACAAGATGTACCATCAGGCGTCACAAAATTCGTCAAATAACAGCCTACTTACTCAGCCTTTCTCGGCCGAGCATTATCCTGTTGATTACCGGTCTATCTACACCGTAACACATGATAGCCAAGTTCAAGGACCACATATACAGCAGCTTCAGCAATTTCAGCAACTCCAGCAGATGCAGCTCGAGCAACTACAGCAGGGGCAACAGGGTCTACTTCAACGACAGCACCTGCAGCAGCAAATACAACATCAGCAGAGTACCCTACTGCAAGCTCAACATCAGCAAAAACAGCAGCACCAAGAACAACAAGCTCAGCTACAACAACATCAACAACAACGCCATCAACAACAACAACAACAGCAGCAGCAGCAGCAGCAGCAGCATCAACACCAACAACATGGTGATGGCTTGAACTATGATCAAGGACAAGCTTCTAATGTACCGGGGCAAGCGGCTTTTGAGTTTGATCCTTCGACGCTATCGCTTTATGCAGATCCCGCTCTTTTGGGGAGCATGACTGGCATGGCTCTCCACAATGGTCTCAATGATGCTAACGGAGGCGACTGGAGTTCATTTTTCAGTATGGACCATATTGCGGAAGCGCCCGAAACCCCTATTACAATGGAGCAACTACAGCAGATTCAGAATGGCCTGGGACAAGAACATAATACAGTGCTCTCATATGAAATACCGGGTTCTTCGTCGTTGCTTTTGCACCAAAACCATCAGCAGCCTCCGCAACAACAGCAACAACCGCAGCAACAGCAACAGCAACAGCAACAGCAATCACAGCAGCAACAATCACCACAACAACAATCATCACAACAACAACTGCTGCAGCAGCAACAGCAAGAAAAAGAACAAAATCATCGACAGCTGCAGCAACCGCAACAACAGCAACCACAATCGCATCAACAATTATCGCAACAAGGGCAGCAAACGCAATATAACCAACAATTACAGCTTCAAATATTACAGGAGCAACAGCGTCAGCAACAGCAACAGCTACAGCTTCAGCTACAGCAGCAACAGCATAGATTATACCAGCTTCAGCAGCAGGAGCAGCTTCGACTGCAACTGGAAATAGCAAGACAGACACAACTTCCTCAAAGCCCTGCTCCACTCGGTTACTCTACCCCTCTCCAACAGCACTTCCCACACCATCTACATGGAATGAGCCAATTCCCCACGGGTCACTCGCCCGCGCAGTCACCACTCTCTCCAGGAAACTATGCTGGTGATGACTACTTTTCATCGAGGCAAGTATCACCAGGACCTGCTTCCTCTCCAGGTGGGCCATCAAAGATCAAATCTAGACCAAGACCATCCACTGCTACCTCGAGAGTATCTCAAGGAGGGATTAAGGCACTCTTTGGACAAAATGGATCAAAAAATAACCGTGCCTCCCTTGATCTAAAATCGGAGACTTCAAATCTCTCACAAGGACTGACAGCGACATTAATTGCTGCCAACCAAACACCTGGCAATCTTGCATCATCTAGCGCGGCGTCTGTCAAGAAGAAGAAGCCCACAGCAAAAGCAGTATCAGCCGAAATATCCATTCCAAATATTCCTACAGTGAGTGTCACTGTAGAAGCAGGAAGCAAGGACCCCATTACTCCTGGATTCAATTCCGTCGCTGGCGTCAAGGACATGGAGACGACACCTTCTCTTACTCTTGCACAACGACGTGCAGCGGCAGCAGCTTTGGGAATGCAGCGGCGAAGATCAGCCTCCGAGTCATCGACTTTGGGGCAAACGTCAGGGTCCACTGCTCCGACCCTATCGTCTCTAATTCCACCCAATCTAGGTCTAGATGCAAAGGCAAAGAAGTTCGTTCTTCCGCCCAATGTTACCCCTGGAAATGAGTCAGTGCCTTTACCAAGTCCTTCGATTATTACGACACCAGGGTCCTCAGCGCCCCCAATTCAAATTGGAAGGATTGCTCCTCGGCATTCATCGTCCCAGGCGCGGACGGAAGAACAACAGCGACAGCTGGATGCAGCAATGGAGCGAGTTGATTTTGATGATGTTACGGTAGCAGAGCTTAAGGAGATGTTACGCCAGCGTGGAAAACATGGTGGAGGAAAGAAAGCAGACTTGATCAAAAGACTTCAGACGGAGATTGAAATCATACGGGCGAATCGGCAGACGAACCAGGGAAGTCTTACACTGCGGCCTGGGACTATCGGGATGTCTGCCATCTCTGGAGCTGCAGGTTTGGCATCGATACCTCCGCCATTGGCTTCGCCAACACATTTACTGAACAAGACACTGGGAGGAATGCATATTGGGTCGCCTCCAGTGCATCAGACGATGGCATCCGCAACTGCTCCCTCAAATCTGAGATACGCATTATATCAAAACACTACGGAAGCAAAAGAGTCTCAAATGACGGTACAAGGAACATCAATGCCGGATACAGTTGGCGTAAGAACGACAGTTCAAGCTCCAAGCATAAACCATGGCTAGGCTAATAATATTTGTGATGTACATCTTTGCATGAAATAAAAAAAAAAAAAAAAAACCCCCAAATGAAGAAATTGCTGCTCGTGACACATTTTTTTGCTTTTCTCCCTCAAACTAAAATCCTGTTCCATTCATCTGATGCTTCATTCATCTCTCACTTCGTTATTTTATTGTCATGACTGAATCATCTAATACTGACAAGCACACAACTATCGCCGAAGATGATGCGCATGGAATTACTGCGACTAGCTTCTTAACGCCCGCCACCAACCCTAGCATCCCGTCCTCAGGTAGACATTCGATCGACTTTAGTGACAAGGCACCTCAGGTTATGGAATGGACATCGACAATTGCAATCAGCAAAGATACCACTGACCATAACCCTAAAGATCAGACTCAGGACTCTGGTGCACGTACGCCGACCTCCGCTTCTGCTCCTGCGAGCCACGATACAGACCTTGAAGAGCTTCACCAACTTACACCAACACTTGTTGAAGTACCTGCCCCTGATATTCCTACCATTCAAAACCTGACACTGGGATCGACCACAGCTTCGAATCCATCGTATCTTTCTTCAAAGCCTTACAGCATTAGTGGACACTATGCTAGGGGCTTAGATGTCCCTTCAGTAGTGCCTTCTCCACCATCATCCATCATAGCAGAGCCGCCATCACCAACCCTTTCTCATGCATCACTTAAGATGGGAAGTACATATTCGTCCACATCCTCGAACGCAGGCGAAGATCAAGATCAATATCAGGACCAGGACCAGGACCAAGACCAGGAACAAGACCAGAATCAAGACCAGGAAATGGAACAGCCCCCCTTTGGTTTAACAAACACTATAGTTGATGATAGTACTACAGCCACCCAGACTGGTTCTACCAGTCATATAAGCACAAATCCGAGCCAGAAGCCTGAGCAATCTGGGAGGATGAATGAGAACCATGACGCTTTTGCAGTGCCACGGAAAGAGATTTTGACTAAAGATGATCTCGAACTTTTCCATGTGTCCGCCAGCTACGCTAGTCTGTTTGAATTCTTGGAAGCCTTGAATGAAAGCATAATAGGGGTTGTGAGCACTGCCGAATGCTATGAAAGCGAGGTACGACCATACCTCTTTATATGAAGAGTAAACAAGCAGATGTCTCTTTGACAGCAAAGGCTATTTCACCTCATAGTCTATCGAGTATTTAATTTTTTTTATGACGCGTTTTAGGTGGTTAAAGGGATGCTGGAAACACTGGATTTGGTAAATGATGTTGCAGAAGAATATCCACCCGAGTCTGGACATGAGAGTCGGTTTGGCAACCCTGCTTTCCGAAAGTTTTACGATCAAGTTGGTTTGGTGGGTGGTGATAAACTGTTGTCGATGATGGCTTTTTTTTTTTTTTTTTTTTTTTTATTAAAAAAAAATGGATAAATATGCTTAATCTCCTTTTTCTTTTTCTTTTTCTTTTCTTTTCTTTTTTTTTTTTTTTTTTTTTTTTTTTCACCGTTGTTGACATCGTTTGTTTCTTCAAGTCTGCGCCAGAATGGATGGAGAAACTGGTGCAGCCCACGGAGGCAGTACCTGAAGTGACCAAGTACTTTGTTGAGTGCTGGGGCAATCGCAAGAGAATTGACTATGGAACAGGACATGAAGCCAACTTTTTAGCATGGCTCTATTGTTTTCACAAATTGGGTCTAATCAAACAAGAGGACTACAAGGCAGTGGTAATCAAAGTGTTTTTCAAGTAAGTTTTTTTTTTTTTTTTTTTTTTTTTTTATCGCTCTTTCTTGCGTTGCATATTAGAAATGAATACCTATCATTTACCTCATCTCTCTTTCACATAAAAGGTATATTGAGGTTATGAGGAATCTACAGTTCACATACTGGCTTGAGCCAGCGGGATCCCACGGAGTGTGGGGTCTGGACGATTACCACTTTCTGCCTTTTCTTTTTGGGGCAGCACAACTACGGGGCCACAAATATATCAAACCAAAGTCAATTCACGACGACGACATTGTGTCCGAATTTTCCAAAGACTACATGTACCTTTCCTGCGTCAAATTTATCAACTCGGTATGTATCTCTCTCCATTATTACTGAAAACCATTTTTTTTTGGGTTCACATGTCAGCTTGTCTACTATACTAAGTAAGCGATAATACAACTGCTTACATCGTATATATAACGTCTACCTTTTTTGTGATTTATGATTTTTTCGCATTTTAGGTCAAGTCTGCATCGTTGAGGTGGCATTCACCTATGCTAGATGACATCAGTGCAGTCAAGACCTGGGATAAAGTCAACTCGGGTATGATCAAGATGTACAAAGCAGAGGTGTTTGGCAAGCTTCCGATCATGCAGCATTTCATGTTTGGGTCGTTGCTCCCATTCAAAGGTACGAGTGACAGTCGGATCTTGGAAGAGGACGAGGAAGAAGCTGGCGTGGAGGGTCATACACATGTGCATGCGTTCGGCCAGGAGTTTCCAACTTGTTGTGGAATGAAGATTCCAAGCGCGATTGCTGCAGCAGCGGCCGCGGGCAATAGTGGTGCATCGGGTGATAGAACTATTTCTGGACTCTCTTCAAGCGGAGCAAGGCGATTACCTTTTGACTAGATTTGTTATTATCATGCAAATAGATATTTAAAAAAAAATTGATTTTTGAGACAAATCACGGGTACAATCCCACCCCTCTCTCTGGCTTCCCGCCAATTTTTTTTTTTACTATTGAAATATATTATTCAAATGTTCGTTCAGTAAGAAATCTCCTCTTTTCTTTCGTTCATTTCATCTCCTTGTCCTTTCTCCTGCTTGCTTTTGCTCTTGCTTTCTCTCTGTGATCCATTTTACTTTTATGCTGGTTCTCTAAACCTTACTCTTCTGCACTCACTAGCTAGATAAACAATATTGATCTTGTACTTTTTTTTTTTTTTTTTCTCTTTTTTAAAAATCGATGTCGCACCAAAGACAGACCTCTGGTGGGTCGTCCTCGTTTGATCCCGCAGCAGCACAGCAGTATTATCAACAGCAGCAACAGGCACAAATGCAGCAGCCATATCATATGGGAATCCCATCCATGGGTCACGCACAACCACTTCCACTACAGCATCATCATGACCCATCATTGGCACATCAACAGCCAATGCAGCCTCAACACCAGCATTTATTGCAGTCGTTCTGGATAAACCAAATGAACGAGGTCGAAAATGTTCCTCATGATTTTAAGCTGCATCACCTACCCCTGGCAAGGATCAAAAAAGTCATGAAGACAGACGAGGATGTCAAGGTTTAAAAAAAAAAGAAAAAAGAAAAAACTTTACCTTTTTTTTTTTATTCAAGACATGAGAAATTTGTCTACATAATGTTGATGCTGTTGGATGTTGATTTTATTTTTATTATTATTATTATTAGGCCAAGATGATTTCAGCAGAAGCACCCATGATATTTGATAAGGGTTGTGAGATTTTTATTACAGAGTTGACCCTTCGCGCATGGTTAGCAGAAACACACAATGACAAACGTAGTGCAGGAAAAAAGAAAGATTTTCCAAATGTTTATTTATTTATTTCTATTTATTTCTTTATTTATTTTACAGGATTCATGCAGAGGAGAATAAACGGAGGACCTTGCAGCGTAGCGACATTGCAGCCGCAATAACCAAGACCGACATGTTTGATTTCTTAATTGACATTGTCCCGCGCGAGGAATACAAGATGGCAAAAGAACACAAGCCATCTGCTACCGCGGCAGCAACAGCAGCAGCAGAGCATCGGCGGAGTCAAGAATCATTTCCTTCACTTGGACCTACAGCCCCTCCTACTGGCAGTAGTAGTGGTATGAATCCAGGCTTTGAAGGATATGGATACCCATATGGAGTTGTTGAAAATGGATCCTTTACCATGGTAAGTGTATCTGAAGTGTCAAATGTCCTGTGTCACCAAAAATGAAACAAGTAGAGAGGATGCTGAAAAGTTTGACTATGAAAATGTATCTCCAGGGCTCCAGCGAGGCGTTGGACCCATACCGTCAACAGCAACAACAACAACAGCTTCAACTGCAGTACATGCGAGCACAAATGACACAAGGAGGTCATTCTCAACTACATCCTCACCAACAGCAGCGGTACGAGTATCAGGGTCAACCTCCGCCTTCACATTCATCTCCAGAGAGTGGGAACGAAGGGACTCTGCAATCAATGTCATCCGAGGCATGGTAGCTTGTAGACAAATAGATCAGAGGGGTTTTTTTTATTTTTTTTTATGCACCTCCTTTCTGTGTCAAAAAATACTTTATTAAATTACGTCCACAACATTCTATGAAGCCTGCCACGTATAATTATATGAATTATTCCACGTCATTCATCTTAATTTCTTTCCTACTTGCTTCATCTACTTTCACATTACATTCATTGCTTTTTTTTTTTTTTTTTTTTTTGCATCATTATCTTTTAATATACCATGTGGCTCTCAGATACTCAGAGTAAGTAGCATTGGGCAGATCATATTGGCTACAATAAGCCAATGCAACTTGCTGATTATAGATCCCTCCTTCCAAGAAATAAAAAAAAAAAAAAAAAAAAAAAAACTAATTTAATTTAGCTCTTACACCGTTCAAACTTTTATTTTCAACTCGACCTGACTTGGCTTGACTTAGAAATCGGCGTAGGCTTGACTGCATTTGGATTATTCTTTATGCTGATGGGTGTCATGATGTTCTTTGATGGAGGATTACTTGCCATTGGAAATGTAAGCATAAATCAATATGCAAGGAAGATGCAAAGAGCTACTGGATGGATGGAATGAAACGACTAAACAATGTCAACAGAGTCCTCCATGATTTTTTTTTTTTTTAAAAAAAAAAAAAAAAAAAAAAAAAAAAAGACGTTACAGGCCAGACAAATAGGAGGAAAATATGACTGTGCTTGGAGAAACTAGAAGACAATGGAACTACTTTTGTTCGGCAGCGCTCAAAAATACAATTTATGACTGAGTTGTTCATTACCTTTACCATTACAAACATAGATCTTATTCTTGGCAGGATTGACACTGGTCATTGGAACACAAAAGACGATGTATTTTTTTGCACGGCCTCAAAAGATCCGTGGTACTGTCTGTTTCTTCAGCGGGATCTTTTTAGTCTTTATCAAATGGCCCACCATTGGGGTCATTGTCGAGTTTTTTGGATTTATTAATTTATTTGGGTAAGAAGAAGTTGTAAAGGCTCCAAGCCTTGATTCGGGCTACACTACATGCAGACTCACAAAAAAAGATTGACTGAACACTTTTTTACAATTACTTACTGTAGCGACTTTTTCCCGGTAATTATCAGCTTTTTGAGGAAATTACCTGTGATTGGAAATGTACTGAGCGCGCCAGGTATCTCGAAGGTATGTGTAACTATGACGGTGTTGATCTTTTTTTTTTTTTTTTTTTTTTTCTCTCTTTATTTCTCATCATGACCTTTCAATATTCCTTTATATCTTTGTCGAAATTGCATTGGCTTGTGGCTGACACACACAGCATCTCCCACAGGACCCTTAAAGGCAGTCATTCCTTTGATGTATTTTTTTTTTTTTTACTCCCGCTTTTCTGCCTCTAATAAATTTTAGCCAACGTTTGATAACTAATGTTTTTTTTTTTTTTCCTTTCTAAAACTGATGGTTGATATAATGAACAAATAGATTGTGGATCGCATAAGTGGTCAGAGGCTACCTGTCTAATGGTTTTTTTTATTTTTTTATTTTTTTTTTTTACAGTCTACGAATAATAAGAAGTTTTTATTTTATTTTATTTTTTTATTTTTGTTTAATGATGAAAATGATCACAAAAATATGCCATCTAATACTCTAATGTCCAAATACCCAAATACCTAAATATTATGCTCAGAAATCAGAAATCGGAAATGCCTGAATGTTTGTCTAATCCAAAATATTATACATGTATGTAGCTTATGTAGATTACGCTTTTGTGGCCTTTAAAATGCTGGTTGTCTGTCGATGATATAAATATATGCATTACGCTTGTTTATCTGGTACCCTTCTATATTTCGAGGACAGATCAGTAGAAAGGAAAATCATTTTAACAAAGTCAATGTCGGTGAGATCCTTTCGGGTGGATGCCTAGAGGCAGATTGGTGTGTAAGAAAGATAGACTCCTCGCAGGAGCTTACGTGGACTCTGTTGGTAAGCCTTGAGGGATTTTTTTTTTTGTCGGGAAGAGAAGGCTACTTGAAGTCATTGGAATAGTTTGCGATACAGAATGAAAATGACGCATGTGGGACATGGACAAGTGTAGATGAATGCGATGATTCTCCCAGTTAGGACGTACAGTTCTACTTTACCAATTGCATAGGTATATGTATATAGAAATATTCATATCTGATGTTGACGGATGAAACTTGCCAGTGACATTGCAATTGGACTGTTGTAACGAGGAGAGTTCCCATGGTGTCACAAAAAAAAACTTTCCTTGCAACGACGGTAATAAAGCATTGCAATCACAACTACCGTCACTACCAGAGTTCTGTACCACGAGAGAGAGTTTTTTTTTTAAAAAAAAAAAAATAAAAAATAAAAAAAAAAAGAGTGAAAGAACGAAAGAAAGAAAAGAATAAGGACAAGGGTTCTGGAATAAAAAGAGGGGTGTGTAATGTGTCAATGTGTCAAAAGAAGATAAAGGTATTTGTATATGATGGTATATGATGACGAAAAGAAGAAGAAAGAAAGAAAAAAAAGAAAAAGAAGACACCTCAACTTTCTATGTTCCTGGATTTTTTTTTTTTTTTTTTTTTTTACCTTACAACTCCACAGCTATCCTTTTATCTCTCTCTTTTTCTCTTTTCTTTTCTTTTTGCTTCTTTCTTACCTTTTATTTTTTAAAAATATTTTCTTTGTCTCTCTCTCAACCAATATCATTCATCATTTGTACTTGCTCTTCACGCCAGCACACTTTTTCCTTTCTTTTTTCTTTTCTGCTTTCTTTTATAGTATTTCCACCTTCACAGCCATGAACTTCTTCAAGCCAAAACCAAAGACTCCTCATGAACTGGCTCGTAATCTCAAAGAATACATTCAAAAGCTTGATGGTCCTGATAAGAGAAGGGTAGGACAAGAGAACAAAAAAAAAAAAAAAATCGAATTCAGAGAATCATTCAACCGTAAAAACAATTCAGCCATGGCAATTCAACAAGCAGTAATGAACAGTGAACGGCACTGGCAAAATTTAATAAACTCGCAAGGACTTGGTTTTCTCTGCCACTGGATTAGTTACCAATTTCAAGTCAGGAATTCGTAAAAAAAGGAACCAGGATACCTTTTTTTTTTTTTTTTTTTTCAGAAAAAAAAAAAACACTGCTGACCCAATACTGTGTATCTCCATCTTAATCTGTTCTTGCATAGGCCACAGAAGAAATCTCTAAAATCCTGGTAGCCATCAAGACTATGTTATATGGAGACAGTGGTAAGTCTCTTTCTCTTTCTCTCCTTATTAGTTTTTATTACAAGTATTGTTACTTTAGGACTCAATCTTGTGCTTTTGCTTTTGACAAATTGGATTGACTCTTTTTTTTTTTTTTTTTGTTACCTTTCTATGACAAACAGAAAATGATCCAGTACCAGAGATTGTAGCTCAATTAGCCCAGGAAGTGTACTCGAACAATCTTCTTCAGCTCTTGGTCGATAACATTGCCAAGTTTGAGTTTGAAGCCAAAAAAGATGTTGCCCAGATCTTCAACAATTTGCTCCGTCGCCATATCGGCTCAAGATCACCCACGGTTGAATACCTTTGCACACGCGACTATATCCTTTTTACATTGATTCATGGGTAGGTAATCTTTTCATCTGATCAAACTAGAAGAAGTCGATATACACATACACATACACATACAAATGGCTGGGTTGACTAGGGTAGGCTTGGATGGAACAGGTGGAGTGACAACTGCGTGGTCCAATCTCGATTCAGGTGCCCAAAAAAAAAAAAAGAAAAAAAAAAGAAAAAGCTTATTACTTCTGATGACACTGTTGGGTCAATCAATGAGGTTGTTGACAGATCAGCAGCTACATTACATGAAAGAAGAGTATCGATATTCTATTTTACCGACTTTATTATTATTATTATCTTCAACACTTGTCCAACGACATGTCTTTATTGATTCGAGAGTATCGCATAATTCTTTTGGATCTTTTTATTTCTTATTTTGTCCGTGAATACGAACTGAGAGATTGAGTCTTTGCCTCCCCTCATTATTGACAAATGCATTATTGCAATAAATTGCATGCAGTGAGGAAAGACAGGACAAACGCGTTTTTTTTGGACATGAACAAATACAGGGGCAGTCAGTGTCAATGACAAAAAAAAAAAAAGCCGCATCTTTTTGACAAGCGTCATTAAAATCATTTCCCCTTTTTTTTTTTTTTTTTTACCTCCAGTGATCACAACAAAAACAACAAGTGTCCTTTACCCCTAACTTGGGGCACTGCAACGCCCAGATTTTAAACTGGCATGGATGTACACTCATGATACTCAATTAACTTCCTTTTTTTTTTTTTTTTTTTTTTTTCTTCTCCTTCTTGGGAAACATCATGATCAGTTATGAAAATCAGGAGATCGCTTTGAACTGCGGCATGATACTGCGAGAATGTCTGAGGCATGAGGTCCTAACAAAGATCATCCTCAACTCTCAGCAGGTCTACAAGTTTTTTGACTATGTGGAAATGAACACCTTTGATATTGCAAGTGATGCATTTGCAACTTTTAAGGTATATAACCGTCGTCCTACCCAAAAATATATATATATATAAAATCAGAGTCTATAAAACTAAGATTACTTTTTTCGTTTATATTTTTTATAAAATCTTCAAATAGGAAATCTTGACGCGACATAAAGCTCCTGTAGCCGAGTTTCTGGAACGCAATTACGATGTGTTTTTTGAAAAGTACACTTTGCTTCTACAATCGACAAATTATGTGACGAAGCGTCAGTCATTAAAGGTACCTAATAAAAACCACAGATCCTTATCTTGTCCGCTATCATCCATTATGCTTACACTTGCGTCTTGTGTTTAAGCCTTAACCTTATTTTTTATTTTTCTTTTGTATCAAACAGTTGTTGGGAGAGATCTTGCTGGACAGAGCCAACTTCACAATCATGACACGATATATTGCCAGTGCGGACAACCTGAAGCTAATGATGAACTTGCTCAAAGACAGAAGTCGTAATATTCAATTCGAAGCCTTTCATGTGTTCAAAGTCTTTGTTGCAAATCCCAACAAGAACAAACCAGTGCTGGATATTTTATCTAAAAACCAAGACAGACTCATTGCATTTTTGAGCTCGTTTCATAATGACCGCAGTGATGACGAACAATTCAATGATGAGAAGGCATTCTTACTGAAGCAAATTCAAGATCTTCGATAACCAAACAATGAAGGTATCTGGTCTCAACAGGAGCGTAGGAGTTGCTCATTCAAAAAAAAAAAAAAAAAAAAAAAAAGTGGTTGTTTTGAGGATGATTATACAGAAATATTTTACAGTGTATAAGCAAAAAAATAAAATAAAATAAAATAAAATAACAATATTCATACATGTACAGTACATGTCGCGATAAGAAAAGACTTTGTTATTGTAGTGGTTCAATGTGAACCGGATTCGACAAAGCCCAGTTTATGCAACACATCCGATAAGACGAGAATAATGTGTGGGAGCGTGGGGAGCATGCTAAGATGATTAGAACATTCGTCTTCAGAACAAATGATAATGATTATTGATGACCATTGCAACCACAAAACGATCTTTGAACAAGAACAACTAGTTTACTCTTCTTGCCTAGCATCGCATCGGATCAGTGCATACAAGAGCTCGATTCAGGATACGTTCCATTTATCATTTTATCATCACTGCTTTAAACAATGTGTAACAATGTGTATGCTCCATTTTTTTTTTTTTTTTTTTTTTTTTTTTTTCCGGTGATGGATGCATTATCTATTATAACGGTCCAATGTCTGTTAATAAAATTAGTAATAGCTTAGACATGCGGAATGCAGTACGCTTCAACTCCTTTTGGTGTCTTTAGGGCAGTGGTCCACCATGTTTATATTAATACAGGTATACATTAACACTAATGTACACGTACATTTATAAATATTCATGGATAGATGCGGAATGAGAAATGCTTTGCTTGGATGTAGGAGAGTAAAAGAAAGAAAAGCACATGGACGTAAACAACGCGTCAAAGCGAGCCGATTGGATCCGAAATCAAAAATCAAAGGCAAAACGTTGCAACAATGCCTTTTTACTATCCCATTGGCTCGCCTCAATTTGACTGACTTTGAAGAGGTCAAAGCTTTAACAGGACTAACCTTTAGAGTCCAGATTTATTTATTTTTTTTTTAAAAAAAAAAAAAAAAAAAAAAACGTGTGAGTCTATAGAGTTATTATTTAGTAACATTCCTCAGGGACAAGTATGTTCCCAGAAAGAAAGAAAGACGCAAAGAAAAAAGTTTATTTTTATTTCATCCTGGCAAAGCTATAGCGATTTAATCCAAAAGGCTAAGCTAGCCAGTTCAACAGGCGGAGAAGATCTTGGTATCCCACTGAAACCATGAATAGCGCAGACCCTGGACTGGACAATTTCTTCCTCTCCGCCGCTCCACATTGCACAGTTTTTTTATTTTTATTTTTTATTTTTTATTTTTTATTTTTTTTTTATTGTTCACAGATGTGACATTCAAAGCAAATGTTTTGTGTTGGCTGGCCAATGTCTACGGTCGCAGTTTGGAAGAGCCCCAATGGGAAACCAAAATGTGTGTGTTGTCGGCAAAAGGGCAACCAGCCAACGTTTGTTTAATTCATTACTCCTTGGGTGCCAAGTAAATATTGATGTGGGTTTGGCTAATAAACGTTCGGCTTGTACCTCTTTTACTTTCTCTCTCCATACCTTGTACAACATCCCCCTTGGTCCGATGATGTCTTCCCACAGACATGTTATCTAATTGCAAGAGTAAACAAAACAAAACAAAACAAAACAAATGCAGGTCCTCATTCTCCAATTTCAGGGTGTGCTCATGCAACAAATAAAGGCACTTCTCGTCCCCATGCTTTTGTTGTTGTTGTTGTTGTTGTTGTTGTTGTTGTTGTTGCTGTTGCTGTTGTTTTTTCAATATTTTGCTCCACATTGATAACAGCATATGTCAATTTATGACAATCCACACCGTCAACAAAGAATATCACATCCCCTCCACCTCCTTCTTCCTCCTTAGACCCGACGCCGACATGGAGATGGACTCACGAATTAGTTTTTTTTTTTTTTTTTTTTTTTTTTTGTTTGATTTACGTGCATGGACAGCAACTGACGGCCCGCTTTCATGTGCAGGAAAATTCGAGCGTTTGTTTGTCGTATCCATTTGCTTCAAATATACACTCCATCATTGTCTCTTTGCTGTTACATTAAGGTCTTCTCTGTCTAAACTTTTATCAATTAGATCAATCAGACGAGTTTGAATATTAAACTTGTAGAAATATTTGAGCGATCCGGCTCATGGATGCATACATGCCTATTTGTTTCTACGTATATAATTGATATGCAGTGTAACAACCCTAGTTCCGAACATCCCATGCTCAATTTCGGCTCGTTTTTATACACTTTATTTTTCTAAACAGATGCTCATTCATCATTAGAAAGGATTTCTTTGAAGCATCTTATACATATACATTATTACGAGCAATTCACCGATCCAAAAATGTAGACCTGGCATCGCAACAAATGCATTTTTTTTTAAGTACATGGATGAAATATACCCGAAAATAAAAAAAAATAAAAAAAAAAACGAGACAACGCGCCATGGCCTTCTATTGCTTGAATTGTTTGCACCACAACGTCAGGTGCAGTTCTAATATTCATGAACACACATAAACAAGGTACAGTATCAGGTACGTCCTTCATGTGCAAACCAACCCAGGACTTTGGGAGCATTCGGTCAAAGAAATTGAGTATCTGATGCTATTCAAAATCATTCTATTTTCTTTTTGTTCAGCGAGAAAACTGAAAAACCCAATTCGCCTATATAAAGTTGGCTTTCCGCCCTGACTTTTGTCTTTTTTTTTTTTTTTTCTCCTTGTCGCTGTACCTTCCTTCCACATCCCCCGCCTTATTCCTCCAAGGTTTTTCACCCTTGCCTCCATCCTTGCCGAAGAAAAAAAAAAAAGCCACGCGCAAGTACATTGCAATGATGTTTTTCAACGCTTTAACTGTAGCTGCCATCGCTTTGGCCTCGATTATACCCTCTCTGGTCGAAGCCTCGCCCATTCCGGTTCCTGAGGCCGTCGAACCTTACATACCTGTCAGCAAGCGCGTCTATACAGCCGCAGAGATTGATCATCATGAGAAAATCTTGAAGCGTTCCTCTGCCGGGTTTAATGATTGGTCTTGCAAGCCTTCAGCTGCGCACCCACGTCCCATTGTCTTGGTCCATGGTTTGGTATGTTTTCTTTTTTTTTTTTTTTTTTTTTTTTAAAAAAAAAAAAAAAAAATTCCAGGAACCATGGAAAAAGCCAGTAGCCCAATTTATTCAAATGTATACAGAGCACGTCCCCTAATTTCTATGATTTTTTTTTTCTTTTATTTATTGTTCTATAGATCGGAAATGGATGGGACAATTGGTTGTACATGGCCCCTCGATTTGTTGCCAGTGGTTACTGTGTGTTCAGCGTGACCTATGGAGAATTACCGGGTATCCCCATCCTTGCTGGCCTTGACAAGATTGAGAACAGTGCGGTGCAAATCAATGCTTTTGTGGACAAGGTTATTGCTGCGACCAATTCCTCCAAGGTGAACCTTTTGGGTCATAGCCAGGGCAGTTTGGCTCCTAGATATGCGCTGAAGCATCTCGGACTCGGTCCAAAAGTTGGTAAGTGTTTATCCTCAGTTTGCTATCCAGTTTCTCTACAATGACATCTGACTTTTTTTTTTTTTTTTTTTTTTTTAAAAAAAAAAAAAATAGAAAAGTATGCCGCCTTCGGTACAATCGCTTATGGAACAACACTCCTTGGCATTGCCCCCTTCTTGACATCGCTTGGTCTGTATGATCCAATCAAGGCTGTCATCGACCCTGTCTGCAAATCCTGTTTCCAGTTCCTCCAAGGCTCACAGTTCCTCAAGGACCTCAATGAGGGTGGTGACACAGTGCCGGGTGTGCAATACAAGTTCATTGTTTCCAAGTATGATCAGGTGGTGACCCCCTATACCAACGGTATCCTCAGAGACAAGAATCCTCTGGTCCAAAACGTTGTTCTTCAGGATCTTTGTTCCGTCGACTTTTCAGAACATGTCGCTCAAATGCTCGATCCCATCGTATTCCATTCCGTGAACGCCTTTTTCGATTCTCGTGCGAATCAAAATGTTAACTGCTTGTCGGCTTTCGAATAAACCGATTATAACACTCTCCCATGCTCTCCCTCTAACAATGGTTGGGAAGCAAGCATTGTGATTTTAAAAAAAATCAGTTAAAGGCACTCATTCATCCTTTTTTTCCTCCCCTTACAACAATTAAGAATTTAGTCCTCTCTCCTCACCTCACCTCTCCTCCAACTGTATTTTTTTCTTACTTTCATCTTGCTTGTTTTAACTTCATAATATCCATATATTCATACCATTTATTATTTTAATAAAACGAGCATGTTGACAACCTAAAATATAAATGTTTGTGTTGTGCAATATTTCTTCTAATTGATTTCTATAGCACTAAATCATACGGTATTCGGATATCTTTTAAGGATTGGAGGGAGGGGAAGCCTTGTTGGCCAACCTCGAGGCAGCTCGAGAGCGCAGGCGGCTGAGAATACCATCCTCTCCCATAAGAATGGCCATGAATGTCCTGACCTGAGATCCAGAGTCACTACGGGGACGGCCGGGGGCGTCTGTCTTTGATTGATCCGATGTTGATTGGTCGGATGATGGTGGAAGAGTCTTGTTTTGGAGTTGTGGTGATCCTGCAAGAGAATCGAATGCGATTTCATCGATACCTGACCAGTATTTTTCTTGAGCCATGGCCATCGCATTTCTTGCTAATGCTGTCCGAAGAACAGGGTCATGTTTCTGGAAGAACAGGCTTGTTCTCGGCGCCGGGACTGAGGGCCGTGCGGGGGATGGGCTTCTTGCTATGCGATCATCACGGAAGCGTGTACCGGTGGGGGAAGATGCATTCATGCCATTGCTTGCCATGGCCAACTCGCTTGTTCGCTCCGCAAGGGAAAGTGCTTCCGCAGCAGCAGCCACTATAGCAGCCTGTGCAGCCTCTGCCTTTTCGATCTTGCGTACTTCCTCAAATGTGAAGCGCATGTCCTCTAGTGCATCCACAATGTGCTGGCCAAAGTCCTTGGATCCCAACTTCAAGCTTGTAATGCAAAAATATAGTTCTGCTTCCTTGACCATGTAGGCACATCCATATCCATCGGGCACAACCTCACCCCATCCATATGCGATGAAGCAGTCATCCGAGATTTGCGACGTGGAAAGTCGCCAGCGACATGTGCGCGCAAAGACGGGGTCTGCAAAGAGAGCGGGCATTTCTTCATCAGGTTTGCGGATCAGTCGCAATCCCAATAAATGGCGATCGACTGCTTGTCCATCTACTGCCCATGCAGTATACTGAGCATGCCTAGCAACGGCGGCGCGACAAGCAGTGGCACGTACTTTGAGGCTAGCGTCCGGATTGTCCATGGCCTCACAAAAAGCTTTGCTTTCATTCGAGCAAGATCGGACAGTTTCTGTACGGCCATGACGGTATTTACGAGTAGCTGCAGATTCGTACGTTGCGACATATTCCCCATGTTTGCGGTAGTAGGCAAGCTGCAATGCCATTTGAACATAAGCATCGGGCGACATTTTGAATGACTTGATCAGACCCTTACCATACCCCTTAAACTCTGTGGGGATCATCTCATGAGCGTTCACTGTGGCGTGAAAGTAAGCGAAAGCATTGGAGATGGCCTTTTCTAAAGCAGGACTGTTAACAAAGTTGAGGGGTTTAGGTTTGTCAAGAATGGAGGCGCACTCATACAGATCCTCTGCATTCAGGTTTCGGAAATCAGGCAGTGCACGAGCTTGAGCCTCGTCGATCAAATAGCGGCAAAGACGAGAGGTAGGCGTCGCATCCATCTTGGAATGCTCTCCGTTCATACCAGCACGACCGTTGGCAAAGACGATCAATTGGAAGCACTTGTCGAACCAGCGACTGGCGCCATCTCCATGCCAACAGGCACGGGAGAATTCCTCCGAGCTGGATGGAGAACTAGAGTCGAGGCAGAGAACAAACATGGATGTCTCAATCTTGGCCATGTGAGCCTTATTGGATGTGTGAGCTTCAAAGAGCGTCACCCGGTCCTTGGCAACTTGATCACGTTGTCCGGTGGATAAAATTCCGATAGCAGGAACCGAAGACTTGTCATCATCCGCCATTTTTTTGATTCGTTCCAATTGGATCATGATCTCGCGTGGGCTCAGAACAGACGAGGGCTTGGATGGGATATGTAGGGTTTCAAAAATGTAAAACTTGCCATTGCGTACCACGCAGATATGGTTATTATTTTCGAATGGAAAGCCTACGGCAGTATCGGCAGGGGAGCCAGCAATGCGGGAATAATTAAACAGATATTGATACATGTTCATGCAGAAGGGCGCATTTCTGGCCATATCTGGAGTCAATGTTCGTCTACATGAGAAGGAAAAAATAAAAGATGACGAATAGAGCGAATGTTAGTATATCTTTCTTATTTTTATAAAAGAAAAGAAAAGAAAAGAAAAGAAAAAGGCCTCCTTATTCCCGGTTATCCCAATATGGAAAGTATTCAAACGTGATAGGATTAAAGGTTTTTTCAGAACGGCTTTTATAGTACTTGTCAATGGCATCATTGCATTAAAAAGTTGTCATAGCAAAGTAAAGATTACTATAAATTGTATGAATCAACCTATATCCGGCCATGTCCTGCGCTTAATATAAAGTCTCTGGCTCCCCTCCTCCCCGCACCCTCCGGGGATCTGAGTTTTTTTTTTTGTTTTTTTGTTTTTTTTTCCTTCAGTCAATGATAAATATTAAAGTGGAGGAGACCAAGAGCCCAATTCATCACAACTATTATATTTTTTTTTATCTCACATCGCACTGCATTTGCCAAAACCTTGTTTTCTGTTTTACATCTTGTACACAATCACAGAGTCAAACATTGTGGAGATCGGAGAGAGATAACGAAATAAAAAAATGAATGTGACCGGACTGAGAACTTACGTCGCAATCAATTGTCTGAATTCGAGGGCCAAACTCACTAACAAGGCTGCACGAGCAGTCTGCGTTGGCATGCGTGGATCGTCCTGGAAACCAAAGTAATAATTCACAAAAAACGTGGACGAGTCACGATGGGAAAAATAGGCCCAGTCATCCCACCATTGCGCCAGCCAGCTCGTCCCACGCTTCTCACATTCCAGTGCACGCTCGCGAAGACGTTGATCTAAGCTTGGGCCCTGGTCGGACTCGCGGAATTCTTTGACAGCTTTAGCCATACGATCATATTCTTCGTCCGTAGTCAAGGGCCTAATCGATTCCATGTATCTGTTTAAAGTCTGATCTAAAGGCGGAATGGGTAATGAGGGTAGCTCATCTTGACCCTTATCCATGATACCGACATTCTCGGTGGGAAAGATTTTTCCTGACGACAGAGCCTTTGATTCAGCAAGGGTTGCATCGGAGGCAGGAGTGGTGGCTAACATGGTTTCTTGTGGTTTAATATGAGGAGACATTCAGTAAAAGAGTATTGAGAATAGTCCGGCGTTGGTATTAGAGTTAAAATAAGGAGGTAAGGAAGCGCAGCATGCAAAGAGTGACAATTCACTAATGAGATGGTAAAAAAAACAATGGGCTTGGATAATGACAATGAGGAGAGTAAAGAGTAAACAGTAAAAGGTTAGGCGTGGAGAGTGGAGAGTGAAGAGTGGAGAGTGGAGAGTGGAGAGTGGAGAGTGGAGAGTGGAGAGTGGAGAGTGGAGAGTGGAGAGTGGAGAGTGGAGAGTGGAGAGTAAAAGAATTGGAAGAAGAGAAAGAGAGAGAGAGGGGCTGTTGACCAGAGGTGCATCAGGACCCTCTTTTAAATATGTCAGTGGTGATCTCATAGTCTTGCATCCGAAACAACAGATCCTTATTGAACTCAATGAAATACACGCTCTTTGGATACTCGCATTGCCTTATTCGGACACAGTGTCCTGTGCTACTTGGAAGCGCCACCAACCCTGGAGTTTGTGCATGTTTACACGCCACATGAGTTGTTGCGTTGTATGGCCTGTGTAATCAATAACATTTTCATCACAAATCCAATTCACAATTCACAATTCACAATTCACAATTTACAGACAAACAACATCATGCAGCCTGAGGCTCAAAACATCAAGGTTCTTTGCCTTGGAGACTCATTGACGGCAGGTTTTGCCAACTGGTATACATCCAGTACATATACGCCATATTCTGACTATCTCACAACTCTTTTCAAAGCTCAAGGAAGGAACGATATTGAATTTATCAATGCTGGAGTCAATGGAGACACTGTGAAGTGCATCCAAGAACGTCTCGCAACTTTATTAAAAAAGGACAATTATCAGCACGTCATTCTCTTGGGTGGAACTAATGACCTGGCTGACGTCTCCGCAGAGTCTACTCCTGAAGACGCAGTGGCTCATATCGACTTTGAACCAATGTTCAGACTACTGTTAGCACAGCCCCATCTCAAGAGTATTCTACAGCTCACCGTTCCCATTAGCGCCTACGATGTACATCACCTACATTACAGAAGCTGCAAGGCCGCTTTGAATAACCGCATCTTAAACAATTCTTGCGAAAAATTAAAAGTTCTCGATCTCAATGACTCAACTTTAGGCTTCAATTATTTGCATCTGTCAGAGGATGAGCAGGCAAGATTCTGGAGCGATGGCTTGCACTACACTCCAGAAGGCTACGAACACATGGCTCAATGCATCTTTAATGAACTTGTTAAAGTTCTACAGAAATAAATAAATATATACGAGTCGTTGTTTATATTATCTTAAAGTACATAGACTCTACAATACGATTAATAGGCGTTCAATGTGTTTGTTTTTTCTTTTGTCTTGTCCATACTCTACTTTTTTTTTTTTTTTTTTTTTTTTTCAACTCTCAAGTCTTCTTATGCCAGACAAGTTTGTATGATTCTAATGACTCAGGGTCTACGTACTTGGCAAGACCCAATGTTTTGAAGCGCTGGTCGATCAGCAGACCTTTGCACAACTCGACAATCACTAGAACTTGAAGATTTGGACAGTACAACAGTCCTTCAAAGAATCGACTGGTCGTCGCTCCAGGCGCTACCAGATGTAACTGTTCCAATCGCTTGCAACTCTTGGCCAAAGCAACGAGCGACTCTTGACGGTAGGCCATCCCACTTGCAGTTGTGCCTGCTCGAGGAAGGATGAGGTTCCGTAAATACCGGAGCTTGGGAAGCGTTGAAAAGGACGCGTCCGAGATTTGGTTTGCGTCCAATAGTGAGACATATTCGAGTCGTGGACAGTTGGAAGTGAGCTCAAGCATGAATTCATCATTGATCTTTGGTTCGACGGTTTCAATCCAGGACACATTCAGATGGCGCAGGTCTGGACAGTGTCGTGCAAATTCGATCATCTCTGAAGTGCCCAGAAACTCATCCGAATCGAGCAATACCAACTTGGTCAGGGCCTTGCTACAAGTGCGAGCGAGCTGTTGAAAAGTCTCTGAAGGGATACTCTTGCATCTCTTGAGTACCAATTCTGTCAAGGGGTTAGTATGTGTAGCAAACATATGAAAAGGGTGGCCCGGGCCCACAGGTAGCACAGGACAAATATAGTTGGCAAGTGAAAGCACAAAGAGTCGGCGACAAGACTCGGCGATCGCACCCCATGGGATGAGTCCTTCCTCATTCTCTGTCGAAACCTGGCGTCCTGTAGCAAAGACAAGAGTCAAGTCTCGAAGACGTTTGCAGCAGTGTTCTGATAGTGCGAGGATAACGTCGGGTGTGATCCAGTTGATGACAAATTGACCATTCTGCTTATCAACTACGTCGTGTGAGTCAATAATCTCAATCCGTTTGACAAACTCTCCATATTCGTGTGTGGAAGAAAAATCGGCGTTCTCAGTGAGTTGTAAAAAGACATTGAGTTCTTCACCAGCCTTCCACCCATGAAAGGTTCGTTCCTGCCATAGAAGAGGTGAGGCAATACTGTTCCAAGTCTTACAGACCAGAGTAACAGGTCCCAGATGACTATAGACAGTGTGTGTGCGGTGATTAAGATAGTCGTAGTGTTGAATCGCTAGGAATGAGAAAATATATCGTAAAAGTGAGGGCTTGAGTGAATGAATTCCAATAGGACGTGTCTGATCCTGGTCCTTTTCGTGTTCTTTGTCCTTGTCCTGATGAAGATCCACTGCTGAGTTGTTATGGCTAATGCTACCACTCACGAGGCCATAAGGATGAGAATATTGATACGGATGTAATTTCGACGACGCGATGCAGTCGATGGAGCGTTCCAAATCTAGATTATCTTCAAGAGCCATGATGCAGATGGTTGAGTGATGCAGACGTCTGATACAAAAGAATGAGTAAGAGAAGACAGAAAAAGAGAGGAATCATAAACAGAGGAAAAAGATGAGAGCAAGATGAGGGTCTGCAAAAAAAAAAAAAAAAAAAAAAAAAGTGTTTGAATGTTGTTGCGCTCAATGGAAGGCGAGGCTGGACATGACTGGCTGGTCGGTGGATTGTTCCTGGCCAAGCAAAAAGGGAACAGTAAATGTTTAACAAATAGCAAATAGCAAATAAGGAAAAAGACATGTCCACACCTCTCTGCTTTATCAAACGCACAGCACACCCGCTGAGACAACACCAAACACATTATTTATTCTAAAAGTAAAAGATTGGATGGAAATTGCAAGGCAAACTATTCATGTACCTGAATGTTTATTGACGAGTGAAAAAGATAAAGAAAGGATAAAGAAAAGTGATTTAAACAGGGCGCATGTGAGGGAAGGCTAAGACCTCTTGGATACGGTGCGAATCTGTCAAGAACATGGTCAGACGATCAATACCCATTCCCCAGCCTCCTGTGGGAGGAAGTCCAAACTCTAGTGATTGACAGAAATTCTCATCAATCAGCTGGGCTTCATCGTCTCCAGCAGCCTTATCCTTGGCTTGTTGTTCGAAACGCTCGCGCTGGTCAAAGGGGTCGTTCAACTCGGTGTAGGCATTGCAAATCTCTTTGGTAGCGACAAAGCACTCAAAACGCTCGCAGAGACCAGGGACGGAGCGATGGCCCTTGGCAAGAGGTGACATCATTTGGGGATGACCCATGATGAACGTTGGATTGATACATTCGACCTCAATAAAGTCTCCGACGAGCTTGTCCAAAAGACGGGCACTGGTACGAGGAGCACCACACTCGACCTCGTGCTTGATGCAGAGATCGTCTAAAAACTTTGTCGCTTCTGTTGTATGCAAAGTATCAGCAGGGGGGAACTTGACCTTGAGCTTCTCCTCCAAATACTCAATCATGTTGATACGGCGGAAGGGGGGTGTAAAGTCAATCTCCAAAGCTGGGCCATCCTTGCCTTGTGGGTGATAAGTGATCTTGGTGCCTCCAGTAATGCACTTGACCATGCCAGCTAGAAGAACCTCAGTCATCTCCATCACGTCAAACATATCAGCGTAAGCCATATAGAACTCTGCAGTGGTGAACTCGGGGTTGTGAGTCAAATCCATAGATTCGTTCCTGAATTGGCGACCAATCTCATAAACACGGTCCAAACCTCCAACGACCAACATTTTCAAATACAATTCGGGAGCAATACGCATATGTAAATCCATGTTGAGGTCATTATGATGGGTCACAAATGGTTTAGCGGTAGCGCCTCCAGCAATCATATTCATCATTGGGGTCTCGACCTCCAAGAAATCCTGATCGTCTAAAAACTTGCGAAGATAGTTGATGATCTTGGCGCGAGTCTTGAAAATGTCGCGGACGTGGTTGTTCATGATCAAGTCGAGATAGCGCTGTCTGTAACGTGACTCCTGGTCCTTGAATCCGAAATGGGTAGTGGGCAACATTCGGAGACAGGGTGAAAGCAAGACAATGTCGCGGGGGAAGATGGATAATTCACCATCGCCTCCCTTCTTAGGCTTGGTACGACCAGCAACACCACGAACACCGACGATATCGCCACGTCGAAGGTTGTCATGGACCTCATTAAAGTCACGCTCAGAGTCCTGGGCCTGAGCAGTGATCTGAATCTTGACACCATCTCCATGAAGATCATAGAAGCGAAGCTTGCCCATGGTGCGCATGTTGTGAAGACGTCCAGCCACGGTGATGACTTCATCTACAACCTCTCCAGCCTTGAGTCCGTTATACTTCTCAATGAATGCAGGCAATGAAGTCGAGACGTGGAACTTGTGAGGATAGGGATAGGTCTCCTTATTGGCACGAAGAGCGCCGACTCTCTTGGAACGGATCTCAAAGTATTGCTGTGGGACAAAACAGTTCACATATGGATGTAAGAAAGATATTCAAAAAGATCAGGTTGTAGTCGTTATAGTCCAGTCTTTTCATGACATAGGCAAATGATCCACTTGGCTTACGTTAGGGTTGAGGTTCTCTTCTTCTTCAGCAGCTGAAAGAGTCTTCTTGGCATCGGCCTTTTCTAAGGTTGCAGGGGCAGGGGCATTGGCGGCCTTCTCTGCCTTTTTAGCCTCCTTCTCTCTGCTCTTGATACGCTTCTTTAATTCTCTATAGAGGTCAAGAGAGAAAAAAAAAAAAAAAAAAAAAAAAAAAAAAAAAGCATTAAGCGTTAAAAGAGGCGCCAGAATAAAAAAGAATGCGATTATAATTGAGAGAGGAATTGTCAACGCAGTGACTGTGGCTGCTCCATGATTATGGTTATGATTATAGTATTTTTTTTTTTTTTTTTTTTTTTTGGATTCAATGATCAGGAAAGAACGTACGTCTTGGAGATCATCTCGCCAGTAACCTCATCCTTGTAAAGTTTAACATCATCAGCAGGAGCAGCAGCAGTGGTAGAATCGACGGGGGTTGACATTTCAGAAAGTGAGAGAGACACAGAAGTGAAAAGAAAAGAAAAGAAAAGAGGAGCTGACAAGACAAGACAGATTTGTTTTAAAAAATATCAAAAAGTTGGATAAAACAACAAAGCCTCCAATTTTATATATTTTTATCGATCCATCTCAGAGTGAACACTGGATGTGTGCACGAAGTAGAGAGAATGTTTGACTCAACACCCAGTCACCCTCCTTTTACACAAATTTAGTCACTTTGTACACATCATTCCCAACCCTTTGCCTTTGACCGAAGGTGATCTTGTTCAAAGTATTGTCTGTTTTAGCACAAGCATACATCGGCGATCTGCAGTCTGCTCAGGTGATCAATAGCTCAACAGCCAGTCTCTTCGCGCTTAAATTGGGATCGAGTCAATCCACTGGGGAAGTGAAGAGCCATACTGTCAAAGGTATAAGATGCTTTGTCCTTCATATTAGTATTGGCCTCTTCCTTCTACACGATAGTCCATCACCCGTAATTTACAATGTGAACTTTTATACCGCGCGCATTTTTCTCTCTTACCTTCTTTTTTACTGCCCCACAAATCTCATCACTTTTACCAGTTACCAGTCTGTCCAATGCTTCATGGTTTAGGGTGCTTTTCCTTGCACTTTTTCCCTCACTCCTTGGTATCATATCTATTCTCAGGCCAAACATTTTATTAATCAGCGACTCTCTCTCTCTTTTTCTCATATACACATCACCGCCTATGCTATCTGTCGACATTCTTTATAGGGGGGCAATCATCTCTTGTCCCATCGTGCACCGTTTCCTACTACACTCGTTGAACAGACAGGCAATGGAGGTAAGCTAATACTATCATTTTTTGCCCAGTCATGATTGAGGGAAGTGTATTCTAGCCCCCGCTTTGACCCGATGAGCCTCTGCAGCTGCTCCCAGCCTTACCGGGCACTAGAAACATTGTTGATCGGTACCAATTGCTATCTTTCTGCTGTTATGGTGATCAGTACCGAGTGCTCAATCCCTTTCTGTACCGGGGATAAAGAGACAGTTGTTGAAGTCATAGCTCAATGTCTCTCCCCGCATCTGCGATTGGGGAGCTTAATACTTGTAGTCATTTGGATTGTTAACCACTACATGGATTTTTTAATACTAGAATGTCAAAGAGAAAAATCAATCAGTTGTCCGAGCCAACGAAGGTTATCTCTTAATCCTGAGGATCTGTCTCCAAAAGGTTACACTGAATACCATCGCACAGATTTCTCTCGCACAAGAAATAAAGACATTGTTGAAGAATGGCAGAAATGGGTAATAAAGCTCGGCGACAAGCATTTGCCAGAGCGGGATTATTCAAGCTCAATACCTTCTGTGCTTGGGGGAGAAATGGTAACCGATTTGAACTAAGATTTATGTTATAGCAACTTGGGGGGGGGGGGGGGGAGGGAGTTCTTTTATCTATTTGTATAACGGTTAATTTAATTTGATATTGTTTAGCACCAGCCCCTCGTAAACGAGCAACCACCAGACGATCATGTCCATGTCCATGTCCATCTTATCCTCGATCTAATGAAGAATTAGGAACATTCATCTTTAGGATTCTCAGACATATTGCCTTCAATATCGTGTTTATATTGTATCGATCCTCATATGTCATGCTTATTCTAATTCTATCTCTCATATAGCTTTGTCCATGGTCAAAAGGTAGCTGTGTGATCAAGAGGAGGCTGTGTGATCAAGAGGAAGCTGTGTGATCAAAAGCTAGCTGTATGTCACAATCATGAAACCAAAAGCAGCAAGTGCGAGAACAAATAAAGATGGAGTTGTTAAAGAGGTCAGTTAGATGAACAGGCGCAATAAAGGACAAGCTTTTGATACAATGCTCTACCTTTGGTGTCATTGTGGACTTCGGAAGCAATGAAAACGATATACCACTGACTTGGTCCTTTTGTTGCCTTTTTCGCTGTTCGTTGATACCATTGAGCGTGCGAACACTAGGAGAAACATGGTCTTCCCCTGGAATGACAGGAGATCGTAAAAGTTGTGATGATGACGATTTTGCAGGAGTAACAAATAAAAATAGTTAACTCCAACATACTACATCGTACTTGCTGATATGCCAGGCAGTCTATCAGCCACGCGATAGCCCAAAGTCTAACGCGTATTATAAATGGCTTACCAGTCAACGAATGTCGTGGGTCCAGCCCTCGCGTCTTCTTTCTTCCTCTTGGCTCCTCTTCCTCATGGAAATTCTTGCGCTTATCATCTAAAAAGTGGACAAGGAAAAAATTCTTAAACAGTGTTAGATAGGGAGAAAATAAATAGATATCATAAGTGAAAACAAGACAATAATAGTAATAATAATAATAATAATAATAATAATAATAATAATAATAATAATAATAATAATAATAATAATAATAATAATAATAATAATAATAATACTAGAAATAGGATAGATCTATACCATTGTCTATCGGCATAGTAGCAGCCATTAAGGTATTTTTCATTTTCAAAACTCCGAAACTCGTCGCCGACTCGTAGAGAGATGCTTCTTGTGCAAGTGTTGCAGTCTTCTTCGCTGTCGCTTCACCAGTGCTCCTATTCGAACTATTCGAATCGAATTTCACTGATATCGAATTCGATTCGGATAAGGTAAGTTCGAATTCGACTCGTTTTCGAATGGTTCGGACCATTCAAGCCATTTGAGCCACTCTGGTCTGTAAACCCAAAGATTTTAACGAATGACGGGAAACTGACATGCTCGACTCTTCGACCCTCAATGGTCTTCCTTATCTCTTTAGCCCATGCAATGAATGTATCCATATAGCTAAACAAGAGTATAGAGCAAATGACAACAACACAAGGCTGTTAGTCTAACAATGTTCTCTTAACTGTATCACATATCATATCACCTAGCCTTGTGGTGAAAGAAAGAGCAGAGGTAACTTCAGCACAGAGGTCCCAGCCACCAACTCGGGTAAGGTCAGGTGGCCACGCCAAACAACATTGTCACGACTACCCCCCCCCGGTCGGCATGGAGGTGAACCCATAGCCATGCTAGACCTAAGGGGGCCAAGCCGCTTTATTTGACAATGCGCTCTGATTTCCTCCACCAAGGATGCCTATGACCTGCTAGCAGAGAGGAACTACCACCCATCGGGTTAGGTCGAACGGCCCCACTGAACAGCCTATCCTGTCGCAGCCATCTCCCCGATCGGTATGAAGAGTGTTAACCCGTACTCATACTGGACCTAAAGGAGTGGTCGCATTAATAGGACGTTTTTGCATCGGTTGAAGTGGAAGGAGTTCATTACCTTCAATAAATCGAACCGTTATTGGTATAACTAATGGTTAATATCTTGAAATACGTATCAATCCTCTGAGCGTTTTGAACAAATGACTGGGATAAAAGAAATTAAAAAGTCAAAAAGCTTGTAAGAAGACAAGTGAGAGAGAGATATATATATGCAATGATTAAGAATGCTAAATGATTAATGGTGATGAGTCATGGCTGATTATGAATGTCGCGTCTTTATCCAATTCAATTAATCAATTCAATGATACATTGATTACCTTGCGTAATTATAAAAAAAGAAATGCCTTGATAAAAAGAAACGAAGCTCAGAATATGCTGGTGAGAAAAAGTAGAGGAATACAATGAAAGGAGGATGACAGAAAGTAAAGTAAAGCATGTCTTGTTATTTCTACTGTGCAAAATAGTCTTCGTCATCTTTGTACGTTGATTTTTAATCATTACTTTCCTTCTCATCTTTCTCACTTTCTCACTTTCTCTCTTTTCAGTACATGTCAACGAATATGTCAAACAAAGTAAGAAGCTTCCAATAGCAACAAAAGGCATAATTGGCTTGGTGCGAACGTGGAGGAGAAGAAAGCCGACTGCATTATTGTCAAGACCAAGTCTGATTTATTATCACAATACAACTGATGAAAGAGAGAGATGGGGAGTGAGTGTATGCAATATGATTGTGCAAAAATAGTGGCAGTCAGTGTGGTGTGGACAGAAAGTGCTGCGCACAGAAAATAATCTTTAAACTGCCATACTGGACACTTTTTATATCTGTATGGGTTTTCTTTCGCTCCCACCTTTTCCATCCATCTGCCCATCTACTCAATCTACCCCCTCACAGTAACTGAATTACCGCTCAACACTTAATCAATCATAATCACTTGTATATAATATCATTCTTTCTCTTGTTTTCCTCACACATCACTCATTGCTGTCTCTTATTTGCACGCACGGCACTTAATATTTTTTTTTTATCATCTTCCACTCTTGATCTTGATTCACCAGTTCAATCGTCATCGTTCTTCCACTCTCTTCACTCGTGCAATCAATATCGCTCCTTCTTTCAATCGCTTCCTCTCATTTACCCCTCTACGTTTTCCCACTCTCTCTGCTACGGATCGATTACGCGTTTAATCCAAGGTAATTTTGTTCAATTTATTTAATTGAATGATTAAGTAGTGCATGATGACTTGTTTATTTACACCTCCATTCACACTTCGTATTCTTTTTTCCCCTTCCCTCTCTGCGCATCTATTCTCTCTCTCTCTCTCTCTCTCCTCTCTCTCTCTCTCTCTCTCTCTCTCTCTCTCTCTCTCTCTCTCTCTCTCTCTCTCTCTCTCTCTCTCTCTCTCTCTCTCTCTCTCTCTCTCTCTCTCTCTCTCTCTCTCTCTCTCTCCCGTTAGAACGTGAAGGCCTCACATCTGTGCCAATCTTTCATTGACACTATTATCAATCGACATTCATAAGTCTTTATCATTTCGTCCCTGGTAATCTCTGCATTAATTTGGTGTCTGCATTATCACGTCTGCGTGCGAAGGTAATGTAATGTGCTTTATTTCATACCATCAGTAGCCCATTTCCCTAACTCCAGCAGATACACGGGAGTTCATTTAGGCTCCGCCTACATTGTTTTAATCAGAGACTCATACCGAACCACTTTTGGTTAGTCCGTTACCAATTACAAAAGGTTTATTAAGTAGTAGGCTTATAGTTGACAAAGACCTCTCTAAAAGAGAGATCGGTATGAGCCTCTAGTTTTTATCATCACTTCCTTTGCCACACCTTCATTCATTATTTCATCATAATCTTTCTCATATTTTTTTTACTTTGACTCATTGTTCATTTGATCGCCATCTTATTTCCAATCCGAACTACTCTCTTTTCATTTTTGTTTTTTTTACTCCCTCCCTTCCCGTCACCTTTATACCTCTCTGTCGATAATTTTAGTTTGATGTTGTGTAAAGTGCTGTGACGAGACACATTTAGTAGTGCACGTTGGTCAGCACTTATTGGTGTGTGGCCGTTGAAACAACCACACGGCGAGCTCGTTGTGGGGTGTGCTCTATTTCGCCGTGACGCCATCTTGAGCTCTCGATGCTCTTGGTGCCTGTCATTACCATCTACTTTTGAACCTCAGTTGACCATGGGTCTAGAGAGTAGGTGCATGAGCAAATAGTGCATATCGTTCTGACTTCAGCATTCATTGAGCACAGATGCATTGTGACGAGACACATTTAGTAGTGCACGTTGGTCAGCACTTATTGGTGTGTGGCCGTTGAAACAACCACACGGCGAGCTCGTTGTGGGGTGTGCTCTATTTCGCCGTGACGCCATCTTGAGCTCTCGATGCTCCTGGTGCCTGTCATTACCATCTACTTTTGAATCCCAGTTGACCATGGGTCTAGAGAGTAGGTGCATGAGCAAATAGTGCATATCGTTTTGACTTCAACCATCTGTGGCAGTAGAGGTGCCTTTATATTTTTAATAGCAAATCAGCAACTTATATATGTATTATTCATCGGAAGTAGCATCAACAACAGAAGATGGGTACTGACCTTTCTTGATGGACAAATTTTATTGACTTACACGTTATATAGGATGAGCTCGCAATCCATCCCCCCTAATCAACTATATCAAGAATACTTGGAGAAGCAAGATATCGACAATATTTCGCCAATCAGCTTCTTTCAATTTCATAAATTCTCCTACAAACAGAAGGATTTTGCTGGCCAGGAATATCGCAGATTGATTGCACTGACTATGCAGCAGGACACTAGTAAAGGGGACGTTTTACTATCGAGGTTTAGATCCCAGAAGCAGAATATAGCGCAGTACTGGAATGATACCAAGGAACGGGAAAAGCAGGTATTTATAGCCCTTTACTATTAATAATGTTGGACATTATAGATGACATTACTAATTAATGGTCAAATTGTGAAGATATCACATGCATCTGCTGTGAAAGATGAAGGCCGAGCTCAATCATTAGCATCTGTCCAGGCCGTTACCAGAGACACTTTGGAAATCTTTAATACCACAGGTATCGTTCAGCAGATCTTAACTGATCCTGCAAATGTTGATTACCCAATGACTTCAACGCTGAATGATAGCATTATCTCCCTCCAACACACACACACACACACACACACACACACATGTTTCTGCCCTACTCAAGACAGTGGATATTGATAACTCTCTTTTCTCTTGATTAGATTCATGCTCATCTGTGTCAACTGCGCCATCCTTTACGACATCCGCTGTATCATCCACACCCTACGATGTCACTAATTCAGGTATTATTACTGTTATTATTATTATTATTGTTATTATTATTATTATTATTATTGTTGTTGTTGTTGTTGTTGTCGTTGTCGTTGTTGTTGTTGTTGTTGCAATAAATACTTTCTAATTTCACTATCATTTGTTGCTCCCTTTAGATATGAACAAGGAGAAACAACAACAGAGTTCAAAACGAACGAGAGGTAATCGAAAATGACTGTTATAATGCTCATTTAGTACAAATATCCTCTGACATTTCTTTGGTTGTGTTCCTAGATAACGAGAATTCAGTTGAAACCCCTATAATGAAACATGTTTGCAAAGAGTCTAGAAGAGGTGAGTGCATTGATAATATAACTTTGAGTATAATGGATACTGACATACATGAAGCACTTGAATAACGAAAAGCACTTATTTTTTTTTAAGTATCATTTGGATCGCATGTTTCCTCAAGCGATTCTGCAGATCTTTCATTTTCAGAAAATGGAGAGTCGGTCGTCTCAACATCTGTATTGTACAGTTGGGACTTTTTAGACGGACCTGGAAGACTCGAGTCGAATGTTAGTGAGCTTTGGATGTGTGATGGAGTTGATGTCGGTGGTGAACTGATGGCGTGTAGAGATCGCATCGTTGAAAACAACGGTGGACTCACGGGCTCATATGAGAAGTTGTAAGTCTTACATGCATTTTGTGTTGAATTCTCCCAGGCTAAACTGAATAAATAACCAATATTAATCCTTACTTCCATGTGTGTTTTTTTTTTTTTTTTTTTTTTTTTGAACAGGGCCATCAACTTCATCTTTTTAATAGAAGCTGAGTATCAGGTGGGAGGATTACAAGGAGAAGTTGAAGATCAAACTTGGGATATCATCTGTAAAGCCCTCAAGGATCCTATTCAGTCCCTCTCAGGTGAAGCTCTATTTGAGGCGCATCAATGGACCCATCGACTGGCAAACAGTACATATGAGGAACTTGAGCAATTACTGGCGGACTCTGCACCTCAAAATTCAGTACTTAAGACTATACTGATGAAGATGGTCGATGGGAGACAACTCTGGACCACAAAGGGTAGGAACGAAGACACGTATCTCAAATGCCAATTGGGACCCTTCTTGGACATATATTTGGGAAATTTAAAGCATACGATGAGTGTCTGGTAAAACTATACCAACTTACCATTCAGCTTCTTTTTGATATGGTTCTATTCATTTAACGTTGTAATTAATTTAAAATTTAGGACACCAATCCAGAATGAAACTAGAGACTCGAAATCAAACCTAATGGTCCCTGACTTTTCTGTTACAACACAGATCGGAAGTCAGGAAGTTTCAGTCCTGTTACTTGAAGGAAAATTAGCCAAGAATCGAGGGTACAATCAGATTTGGGACGACCTTAGCAAACTTGGCCAAGAAATGAAGTTGGCACTTGATGCCATTTTGAAACTCCAGCCAAAGAGTGATGTTTGCGTCATTGGAATACATATACATGGTATGTCATATCATGGCGTGTCGTATACACATGTATTTAATTAACTTATTACATTAAACATTTAAGTTTATATATTTTTAATACATTGTTTTATTAGAGCCAGTTGCAGATTTTTATACACTCAAGATTCATGCAGAGGCTACTTATGTCATGCGTAAATTTGCAACCAGTTATATTCCAACAGAGGCAATGAACACTTTTCCACTTGTTCATTTAATGGAGATCTTTGAGCATGTCAGAGTAAAAGTTCAACAGACTGTTGAACAACTTCGTCAAGTGAAGATTCATGCAAGCCCGGATCCCAAAGTACCACTCTCATGGCTACGACCATCCTTTAACAAGCCAAAGCTTCAAAGGATTCTGGACGGCCAATAAAAGTACTTTCTCAAGCCTCTCAAGATGGCTCCGATACCCTGTCTACGTTCAATGGATGAACACTGTCATTACATCTGCAACTTTTTCCAAAAAAAAAAAAAAAAAAAAAAAAAATAAATAAATAAAAAATAAAAAAGGTATGGCATAGACCAAGTATCACAGTTTATTAGTTAATTAAAAGTCCATGTATTTACTAACACAATTCTTTTACTGGAGTCTGGAGTCGACCAAAGGATCTAAAAAAAAAAAATAAATAAAAAAAAATAAAAGAATCGCATGGCATAGAGCTCACCTCTCAAAAAATAAAAAAAAAAAATGGCTATCAATAAAAGAAACCGCTACAAAAATGTTTCAGTGACCAAGGAAACTAACCTCAAATCCAGTGATCCGGTCACTTAAATAAAATTCAGCAACCCAGTAAGATGGAGTGGTCAGTAAGATGGAGCGGCTGTGGTGGAGAGTGGTACAATATAAAATAAAATAAATTAATTCGATTTATCTATATATTAATACACCCCTTAAGTTTCACTTGGAAAGAAAAAATAAAGAGAGACGTTGTTTTTTCGAACAAATCAATGGAACAATGGACTTAATAGCGAGTTTTCGCAACCAAATTTACATCAAGGATTTACATCAGCTGAGAATGAACTTAAATGGGCTTGATGTGTTTTCGAAAAAATGGCCATTTTCATTTTCGCCATTAATAATACACAGAACGATTTTTCCATGTATTTCTAACACTGTGACTGATTTTTAAATAAATACTTCGCCCTGTAAAATAAAAAAATCGCCAACATGTCAAACGTCCACTTTGCAACCATTCTTTCAAACCTCGCCAACCTCCAGCAGTTCCTTGACGAAGACGAGAATGACAATTACGAGGGCATTGTCGACTTTCAGGTACCTCGGCTCCATAATAATCGTATCGATTTGGATGCTCTTTCTGATGCAGATTTTCGTATGATATTCAGATTTTCCAAAGGACAAATGCGAGAAATAATTACTCACCTTCGGTTTCCTGAGTACTTTCAAACTATTCAACGCGACATTGTTGATGCTTTTGAAGGGTTAGCTATCTTGCTGTATCGACTTGCATATCCTTGTCGACTCTACACCGCAATGCAAGTCTTCGGTCGCTCTATTCCGGCCCTTAGTAGAATATTTAATCTTGTTGTTCGGTTTGTAACCATCCGATGGGCAAGACTCCTTACCTTCGACCCTATCCGACTCACCCCCGCTGTGCTTTCCGGGTTTGCAAGTAAAATATTTAGTGCTGGCGCTCCATTAGATTGTTGTTTTGCTTTCGTTGATGGTACATTACGCGCCTCTGCTCGCCCAAGTTTTGGCCAGCGTTCAATTTACAATGGCCACTATCACAGCCATGGTTTCAAGTATCAATCCGTCCTGACTCCCGACGGAATAATCGTTGACTTGCGAGGCCCTTTTGATGGAAGGACTCATGATCTGACCATAATGCGGACATCTGGTTTACAGGAGGTTTTAGAGGAACATGCTTGGACAGAAGACAGGGAACCTCTCGCTATTTATGGAGACCCAGCTTATATGCTTACACAACACGTACTGATACCATATAGAACAGCTCCTGTTCCATTAACTCCACTGCAACAGGCTTTCAATAGCTCCATGTCCAAACATCGAATAGCTGTCGAATGGGGATTTGGTAAAGTTGCGGGATTATTCGCCTTTATTGATTTCAAAAAAAACCTCAAAGTGTTGCTTTCCCCTGTTGCCCGATACTATCAATGTGCAGTGATCTTCACAAATATCCATACATGCTACTATGGATCAAACACATCATCCCATTTTGAAGTAGATCCCCCTGCAATTGATGAATATATTCGGCCTGATCTATACGATGAGGTTCCTTATCACGAATAAATTTTTTTTTTATTTCTTTGCTAATAGTTCATGGAGTGCTGCACAACTACTCTGCACAGCCCTCAATATCTCTTTGATGTCGGCACGATGTTCTGCTTCAGCGGCTTTTGAATACTCCAAATATTCTTTTGTTTCAATAACTATAGTGCGTGCCAAAACTGATGCAATAAATTGCATTTTTCAACATTCATTCCTCATTCTCCTTCTTCCACTTTATGATCTTCCCTGCCACCACCGTTTCTCATTCTCATTTGTCTCACCTCCATGGAGTCTCATCGTCATCGCCATCAGTGGCCTAATTAGCATTTAATTGCAATTTGCTTTCAGCATCTCATTGCATCTATTATGGCAATTAACAACTTCTTGTTTTTATTTATACCTGTTACTTCTCCTTTCCCCTAACGATGTTCCCTCCTTTAGCCTTATATAACTCCCTCATCCTCTTCGGCATACCGCAGTATAGTTTGTGTAAGAATTCAGGAGGGATATGTGTCCATACGTCTTGGACTCTCTCCCAGAGATCCTCCATATTCTTTGCCTTGTCTGGATAATGATCCAACTGCACCTTCATGTATGTTTTCTATTGGGTTGATGTCAGGAGAGTTTGCTGGCCATTCCATGAGAGGTATCTTAGACTTTTGGATATAGGTCATTGCTATTCTTCCGGTATGAATCCTAGCATTGTCCTGCTGAAATATAAATTTGTCCTTATCCATCAAGTAGTAATCCCTGGACTTAAAGACATAATCCTTGAGAACGTCGACGTATGTTACCGAATCCACCTTCTCTTGGAGCCAGCAGCCATCGCCTGGTCCGTAGTAAGTTATACAACCCCAGAACATCATTTTGCCTCCACCGCCTTGCCTTGTCTTTTTGATATGATGTGCTCGTAGAGTTTTATCCCATCGATGCTTGTAGTAGTACTTTCTTCCGCAGGACCCAACTCTGCTAAAGATGGTCTCATCTGAGAACATGACGTTCTTCCAGTCTTCTAGAGTCCAGTCCAAGTGATCCTTTGCAAAATTATATCGAGCATAGATTTGCTTCTTCGTCAGATCAGGCTGCTTCTGTTTTACATATGCCCCCATATCATCCTGCATAAGGAACCTCCTGATGCTCGATTTACTAACCTGCACTCCTTCCCTCAATTGAACAAGTTGTTGGCCATCTTTTAGGGTCTCCAATACACCCATGTCAAAAAATCTTGATAAAAGCTGTTTCGTTTTCTTAGTAACTTTGCAGGGTCGGCCCCCTCTCAGCACTGGAATACTTTCTTTGCCTCTTTTCCTAATCCTTTGAGCTGAGGTAACAGATATCCCTAAACTCTTTGACACTTCTCTGGAAGACTTTCCCTGATGAAGTAGAGCAGTTGCATTTTGGATAGTTGATTTGGATAATGATTTCATGTTATGATAAAGATATGGCAGATATGTAGAGTGTCGCTTGGTGTATCAGTGGTGATGGTGCTATAAAGAAAGAATAAAGAATAAGAAAGAAGTAAGGGATGGACAAACCTGACATGTACTTTTTACCAAAACTGATGCAATGAGACATGACTATACAAATGGCGATTATTCGCTAATTGCGTCATTGATGAGAACAGCGATGACAGTCTACGAAGGTGAGACAAATGAGAATGAGAAGCGGTGATGGTAGGGAAGATCATTAGAAAGGAAAAGGAGAATGAGGAATGAATGTTAAAAAATGCAAATTATTGCATCAGTTTTGGCACGCACCATAGCTTGCTCAGCTCACTATTATCCCTTGTGCGTCTCATTTTCCGGTGTCGACTTATGTCCGTCGAAGATGAGGTTTCGGAAGAATCTGAAGAACGTTTTCGTACGGCTCGCGACATAGCAGCTTCTCGCAAAGCCTCACCATCTCTGTTGTTCTGCAGATATGCTTCATGAACACGCTTACGATTCTCTAGATTGTTTGTTCTTTGTTGGTGAGCTTCCTGCTCCAGCTCATATGCCAGGTTGATTAAATGACGGCGCTCGTCCTCTTCTCCAATAATACCAGTCGCCGCAGCTTTTTCTCTTAAATATTTTTTATGATCCTGTGCCATCGCTTCCCATGCGCTTCTATATAAATTAAGCAATTATGGGCTTGATGTAAAAGTACAGGAAATACGGATCTTGATGTGGTTTACATTACAAATTTACGACAAGCTAATTTTTAAAAAATAGAGTTGTGTTTTAAGGTTTTTTTTTCACTTCCCGATGTAAATTTTGATGTAAAAACGCAGTTGCGAAAACTCGCTAATAGAGAGTTTTCGCAACCCCGCTTTTAGAGTCCTCGCCAATAAGTCATAAACTGGATATATTTTTCAGGCTTTTAAATTGAATAGAATACTTCCACTTTTAGACGCGGGAAAAATACGTACAAACTCAAAATTCGAGAGCGTTTTCGATTGATAAGAGGCTCGTCCTCAGACTCGCTATCCTCTATCACATTAAACATGCTTCCAGCATCTAGCGTAAGATCCACTATCTCAGGGCCTAGGGTAACAGCTTCAGCTCGCTCTTGATTTAGTACTCTAATGAGTTCTGCATCCCACTCACTATTGTCGACTTTGAAAGTGTCACTAAGGTCCACAATAGGCTCGTTTTCATCAAAAACCTCTTGATAAACCTCTTCGACTATTTCTTCCTGTGCATGACTCCTCTCGTTATAGTATCTCATGCCAATTTTCACAGACTTCTTCCATACAGAGTAAAAGACTTTACACGGAATCTGGGAAAACAAGCTTAGTAGCCTTTTTTTCAGCAAGATGGATGTCATTTTCACCATTGCTCTCGAGGCAATTATGTTTTTCACAACTGCCCAGATCTTCTCAATAGGTTGTAGCTCGCAATGGTAGGGTGGAGTCTTGAGGATTTCATGTCCACCATTCTCCTGGGCTATTTTACTGATAGAGAAATACGACTCATCAGGAAGAGCGTTAACCAATTCCATAAGCTCGTTTTTGTTCAGTGCTTTTCCATTTTCCCTTGTTGGAATAACAATCTCCTTGCCCGTGAGCCACTCTTTGATAGTTTTCACAGTGTCGCTCTTGGTTGGTTTCCTGTTTTTCTTGTGAAAGTGATATGAAGCGCCATCAAGATGGATTTTACAAGGGCCAAGTCCCATCTTATTGAGATTCTCACAAAGTCGCTTAAAGATACTATCGAACAAACTAG